GCGGATACCTAGCAAGACGAGTGGAAGAGCGTCTGTCCACTGTGAAACGTTTGAAGCTGATAATGAAGCTTTTAAATGTCGATGAAAACGTTCTACCAACCCGTTTGCTTGTGGGTGGTAGGCGGTCGTTCGGAAGCGCGTGATTCCTAAAAGTGAGGTGAGACAACGGAAAAGTCCAGATTCGAACTGGCGTCCGCGGTCTGTAGTGATGGTTGAAGGGCAGCCGAAATTTGCTACCCATCGTTCGACGAAAGTGCGAGCCACTGTTTCAGCAGTAATGTCCTTAATCGGTACTGCTTCTGGCCATCGAGTAAAACGGTCTACGCATGTTAGGAGATATGAGTATCCGTTCGAGTCGGGTAAGGGTCCTACCAAATCTAGATGGACGTGGTCGAAACGAGCGTCAGGGGTTTTGAAAGAACCTAAGGGACATTTGTTGTGTCTGATTACCTTAGATTTCTGACAGCTTACACAGGAGCGTGACCACTCCCTCACGTCTTTATTCATGCCAGGCCAACAAAAGCGTTCGGCTATAAGTTCGATTGTTGCACGAGCACCTGAATGAGAAAGATTGTGCAACGTATTGAAGACGTTGCGGCGATAGTGTTTTAGTACAATTGGACGATCCCTACCTGTAGATGTGTCACAGAGTAAGGTTTCCTTACCTGTTCCCATCTGCCTAATACTTAGTTTAAGAGTTGTCGAGGATAACTCATGCTGAAGATCAATGTCTTCTTTTTGAAGCTGAGCGAGTTTAAGAAGGTCGATTCCTTGGAAACTGTTCAAGGAGCTAATTCGAGACAAGGCGTCTGCGACTACATTGTTTGCTCCAGAAATATGTTGTATGTCTGAAGTAAACTGCGAAATGTAGTCGAGTTGTCGAGACTCTCTTGGCGAGTACTTGTCTGAAGATGAACTTAAAGAGAAGGTAAGAGGTTTGTGATCGGTAAAGAGCGTGAATTCTCTTCCTTCGATGGAATGTTGAAAATGCCGTACAGCACAATACATAGCTAGGAGTTCCCTACCGAACGTGCTGTACCTAGATTCAGCGTCTAGCAACCGTCTCGAGAAAAATCCTAAAGGTTGCCACGAGTTGTTAACCCATTGTTGTAAGACTGCTCCGATTGCTGAGTCGGATGCGTCTACGGCGATACTAATGGGCGCTTGACTGTCCTGATGAGCAAGCAAGGTTGCTTTAGCGATGTGTTCCTTAACTGTGGAAAATGCTTTACGGGCTGTGTCGTCTAAACTAATTGATTTCGCATTTCCACGAAGCTGATCGGTCAACGGTTTCATTAGGGATGCGCATTTAGGTATGAACCGTCTATAGAAACTTACGAGTCCGTTAAAAGTTCGTAACTGCTTGATTGTGGTCGGTTCTGGGTAATCCAGAATGGCCGCCACTTTGCTCCTAAGGGGTCGGATGCCTTGGGCATCAATGGTGTGTCCTAAGAAGTCTAAGCAGTTAGTTCCGATTTGGCATTTCTGAATGTTGACAGTAATGTCATGCCTTTGAAGTCGATCGAAAACAATGTCCAGATGCTTGAGATGCGATTCTCTGTCCGGACTTGCTATTAGACAGTCATCAACATACGCATGTACGAAGTTGAGACCTCGGAAGACGTCGTCTATAAACCTTTGGAAGGTTTGAGCCGCGTTTCTTAAACCAAAAGGCATTCGTAGAAATTCGTAAAGACTGAAGGGAGTGATGATGGCGGTTTTAGGAATGTCGTCAGTTGCCATCGGGATTTGGTTATAAGCTTTAACCAAGTCGATTTTCGAAAAGACAGTTGTACCTTTCAAGGTAGCTGTCAAATCGTGAATATGAGGCAGCGGGTAACGATCGGGAATGGTTTTAGCATTCAGACGCCGATAATCACCAGTTGGCCGCCAATCATTGCTGTCCTTTTTAGGGACCATGTGCAATGGGGATGCCCATGGACTATTCGATGGTCGAATTATTCCTAGGTCCATCATGTGGTTGAATTCGTTTTTAGCTAACCTAAGTTTTTCGGGAGCGAGTCTTCGGGCTTTCGAAAATACAGGTGGTCCTGTAGTCGAGATGTGATGTGTAACATTGCTGGTTACACAAGGTAATTTCGATTGCGATTGGTATATCCCGGGGTATTTGTCGAGTACTGCTTGGTACAAGGGGTCTATGGCGTGCTTAATCGTGACTGGGGATAACCTGCAACCAGAACAAGGAGTTACGCAAACGGACAACTTAGTGTTTCCGTCTATTAACCTTCGTGAGCGTGTGTCGATGAGTAGATTGTGGTGTTGTAACAGGTCAATACCAATGATTGGCATAGAGACATCTGCAACCACGAAAATCCAGTGTATGGGTTTACGTAAACCCACGTTAAGGTAGACGTACCTTTTACCGTAAGTAGCGATCGGCTTTCCGTTTGCCGCCTGTAAACTTAAAACAGACTCGCGAAGTCTGTCGTCGAGATTTGCTGGAAGAACGCTAACTTCTGCGCCAGTGTCGACGAGGTAGCGAACTTTCGTAGTCACATCCGTGACATATAAGAGGCGGCTGTGTTCGCCGGCTACGGTTGCCGTTAACGCGTGCCGGCTGGGAAGTTTCCCGAACTGTTTTTCGTGTCACTCGATTTTGGGGTCGGATAATTGCAAGGTTTCCTGCAGTTTCTGGAAAACTTACCGTACTGGTTATGATACCAGCACCAGTCGGGATTGTCTGTCTCTCGTGGTCGAGAGCCAGATGGCTTACGTGAGACGCTTCTACGCGGGGTTTTTGACCGACTACGGTCATTGCGAACTCTAAGATATCGTGTAAGCGTGTGACATAGTTCGGCCATGTCAGTCGAGGTCGATTGGGGTTTTTCTTTGATGGAAAAAAACTCGGCCTTAGAAGATCTAGTGATTTCCAAGATTCGATCGGCAGATGCAGCTAGTTCATCTATGGCATTGTTTTGAAATGAAACAAGCACTGCCTGCACCTGTTGAGGGAGTTTAGACAAGAAAAGTTGTCTAAATAGGCCATCATCGAAAGTTCGTTGGCCGATGACTTCTCTCATTCTAAGCAACATGTCCGTCGCAGAACCATGTTGCAAGTCGATGTTATGGAAGAGTTGGTCTAACCGTTGTCGATCAGTTAGGTCTCCTCGTTTTAAAATCGATTCGTAAGGTTCGGGAACATCACTAGTAAACATACTAGGTGTTACGTACCTGTTAAACTCGCGCGGTAACGCCTTAACTACCGTGAGGAAACGTGTGCGCGAGTCCGTGATTCCGTGCATGCTAAAATCGGCTTCTGCATAGCAGAACCAGGACTCGATATTGTCGGGCCAAAATGGCGTTAACTGAATCGAAATAGGGAGAATAGTCTTGAACTTAAGAACCTTAGGAGAGTGTTCCGTCATAGTAATATAGATATCGAAAAAAGTCTAAGTAAAATATATCGGAGAAAAAAAATTCGCGAAAAAAGTATATCACAATATATAAAATTCAAATAAAGAATAACAATAAATAATAATATTCCAAAATGGAACAGACTCACAGTATATTGACTTGGTGTACCAGATCACGTCGGGTTCACCAATGATGATGCAACGGATATTCTAGTTTTACAACTGGATACCAGTAGCACCTTCTATGTTCGGTCGTTCCCAGTCAGATAGAAATCAGAAGTCAGACGAGAGGAGGCAGGAAAGATATATTTGATTCGTTACCAATATATCGAGGACCTTTTCTATGAGCTGGCTAATGAAACGTAGGAGCTGTGTCCCACGCGGTATTGAAACGTGATCTGGTGCGGATGCATGACCGAAAGCCTTCAGCTAAACAAGTCCACTTAAACAACGTGGTCAGCATCCAATGTCGAACACTTAATGAGCTATTGATTTTGGGGAATTATTTACAGCTACAATGTATTCACTTTCTCAGTCTATGAATGTAAATAATATTTGTTTTAGTACTAAGTTAACTCAATCTCGAATGAAAACAGAACGAGGGATGAGTGAGTATTAATGTATTTGGTAGCCAGAAAGAATATGTCACGCTATGTTGGAATCACAACGGAAAGTGTCTTCAAGGTTATTGACTAAAACAACATGTACAGTCATTTAATGATGAATGTACATACAGTGAAAAATTGACAAAACAAATACAAATAATATTAAAAACTATTTACAAAATAAGCTTGTCGGTCTTATCTCCACAAACACCATTTTATATAACTCTATTATTTGTTATGTTGTTTGTTTCATATACACATATCCATTTCTGAAGACATCAGTCACTCTCTGCTACTACATAAGGAAGCTCACTTAGCCAAAGATTCTTTTATTTCATCTACAGTTGTACGAACCGTTTATTGGACTCCAATATTCTTCAATCAAAGGTGAAGCGCAATAGTTGATTCGAAGGTCATTTTGTTACAATAAGTATATCTTGTTGGACGTGCAAGTTAACTTATGCCTTGTACACACCACGGCTTATCTACTTTATGCAGGGCACAAATTTATAACAAATAATTCTTAAGTGCTTGAATATAGATGCGAAATCTAATCCAAGAAAATGATATTTTATTGAAGCCGATTGCAGTCTTCAGTCTTCAGTAATAAGGATAGAAGGTCTGGTGACCTATTTTAATCCTTGCAGTTTGTTGCACTGTGGAGGTCTCGTCTTGAATACATCAACAGAAGGTGCTGATATTACGTGTTCTGGTAGAGAATTCCAGTAATTCACTACACGGTGCGAGAAACGAAACTCCAGACGTAGACGATTTAATCTCGGTTTTTGGACTTTCTTTGAATGTCCTCTCAAATGCTCAGCCCTAGACGGGAGGAAAAGATAGGACATGTTAGTACCAAGGTCATCGTTCAGGATACGATATGCCAATATTAGATCACCCCGTATTCGCCGGTAAGATAACGGAAATAAGTTGAGGTGTCTCAGTCTGTCTTCATAAGATAGGCTAGATAAGCCTTTTACCATTTTTGTCCCGCGGCGTTGGACTCGTTCCAACATATCCGCCTCATATTTGAAACAAGGACTCGCTGCTTGAATCCCATATTCCAAATGTGGCCGTACGAAAGTTGGGTATAATAATCTAAACATTTCCTCATCCAGATACCGGAAAGATCTACGAGTAGACCATAATGCCCTATAGCCTTTTGCAGCAGCAGCCTTACATGGGACTAATTGGTCTCACGCAATATATAATACATGGTCGACTTGGAAGAGATAGTTAGCTGACCTCGGAGATGTCCACTTATTCATATGAGGGTTAAAATCAGGTGTAAGGAACTAAGATTACGTTTTAAATTTGGATGTTAAAGTTAGACTCTAAGATTAATATTTTCATTACAAATTGACATATGCTATAGAGCGAAAATGCTATTTTACCTTTTGGACGAATAAATTTCGCACCCAGATCCTCCGCCTGCTCTCTTTAATCTGATTAGTTTTAGCTATAAACTGTAGTCACCCAGAAAGTAGTTGGAAATCTTAATATAAGACCAGATTTTTTGACTATGTTTCCTAATAGCTTCCTAATTATGCTCAAAATTCTATCTCAACGTTTGACTTTCGTGTTCCAATTTTCACGTGTTGAAGATAAAAAACTGTCTGCTTAGCAGTATCTGCATAATAAGTGGTCCAATTTTTAGTAGCGTTTCTTGTCATTAATTGGTGAAAATGATATAATTGGGGCACACTGCTGGGAAGTTACATATAATGTTGAGATAGTTATAATCTGCTTTGCTTTCTAAGTGGTATATTGGCTAAGAACAATCTATGGCGAGTATCCCTTGCACTTAAGGCTAGTTTCCGTAACTCATTAATAAGTTTAAGAAGTTTGTCTTCAGTTTTACCTTGAAATTTACCTAAATATATTCAAAGTATGCTAAAACGTTTGAGATCTTTTCATTAGAAATCAGTGTTATTTTAGTCAGGTTTCTTTTACGGTTACGCTTGTTGTGGTTTTTTATCGGGTCACTGGGATGATCGCGTCCTCTATTTAGCTGCTATTCATAGTCAGGTTATCAACAAATTTTTCGAATATTGCTGTAAATAAAATCCCAGTTTGTTTTTAAAAATGGGCTCTTTTGTATAATCATGTATTCTACTAGTCTGCAATATATTTAACTTTGAATTGTCTTCTTACTGCACTTAGTATTTTCAGATGTAATATGTTTTAAAGCTCTCTCCAATCTGCAAATCACTAATTTGGGTGCGTCTGGCTCTCGGTTGCTGTTCTTTTAAATAGTTTTTTCTCAGTGAAAATGAACAATCGTTCTCCTGAATGCCTTGATTGTTCTGATGAGGTTTGGCAACCACGTAACCAAACTACCTCAGAATGTTCTGAACTTCCTGTAACTACTCGATATACAGAAGTCGTAAATAGGACTTCAAGTTTACCCCTTCCTTCAAATGGTTTGTTGATTGGTGAAAATTCTTCCCTGCCTGTTGTTGAAGATAATGTATCTATAAATCAAGACAGAACTACTGCTAATTTACAGAGGGCCAAAAATGTACGACAGAGTTTACGATCATTCCTACGCAAAGCCACTAGTTTGAAAGATTCTCGTTCGAATCTAAACATTGAGTGTTCTGTTATAGGTCTTGATGGAAAATGTTTCAGGTTTAATTTGTGTGTAAGTTTAACTTTTCCTGTTGACTTTTGATAAATAACCACTTAAAGTATTACAAGACTTTTTGCTGACTAATGTATAATATTAAATAGCTGGTTTTCCAATTGTCTTTTTCTAATACTAAGCTGAATTATAGAGGTGTTAGATTTCCAATTAAGGTATGTAACTCATTTGCCAATTACAGGTGTCCCATTCCTCGCTAGTGATATTATTCGGCTACCTAAAGGAGGGTCGCTGTTACGAGGTTTGAGAATGTGATTCAATAGTTTTATTTATTTACTTATTTGAACACAAATATTGGTACAAGGGGGCACCAGATATATATGTGCCACGCAAAAAGTTGTCATCTCATTTAATTGTGTGAGGGCTATGATACTGCCCGGGTGCCCAAACTGAAGCAGGTGGTTTTCTTAAGGGGCCACACCCGGAGCCTTCGACCTAAAGGTCTGATCCACAAGGCAGTGGAGCATTGTGAGGAGATGCAGTCCCATGGTAGTCGGTGACAGACGAATGATTCATACGCCATTTGTTCCGTCAGGATACTGGAGCCCATGTGCACCATTGGTTTTGAATCAGGGTTTTTCAACTCCCCTAAGTGAACTTTCCGTGTCCACCAACCCGGTTAAAGCGCCGGACATTCGTTTTTCGTCCTCTCAATTTCGTAAACAACAGTAATGCCATGAGAAGGCAATGAGTAGGACTTTCCTGGAAGAGGCTGTATAGTTAAAAAAGCGAGAACTTTTACCTCAATATATGAATGTTTTTTGTAAGTGAATAGTAGTAGCAAGCTAATTTGAATCTCATAGGGAATCGAAGATGGTGTGAGCGAAACCTACTTAGTGACCATTACCATACTCCTAAATTTACATGACAAAGAATATATGTTCAAAGTAATTTGTGGATTTCGTGTTTATTTCATAATTTAAAATTAATAGGTGGGAAAAGTAGGGAGAAATCATAGGACCTCATAGTTTTGGGTGTTTGTCTGAATGTGGAATAGTGACATATTCTTCTTCTGTGATAAATTGTCTACAGCCCAATTACTTGTTATGTACACATAATAAAACTATAGAACTATATCGCATATCGAATTGCCAGTTTTACTTGTAATGGATAGTGATTCGTATGAGTGACTTCCATCGAATACGTTGGCAGTATATTTCCTATTTTCATTCTGTTGTCTTGATTTACAAGTGATAACGTTAGTCCATTGATTAATAAATAGAGTGATTACTCTAGTACACTTGTAATCCCTATGACTTTAGAATACAGTTTTATTTATAATCAAAAATGTTTGTCCTCAAATTTATGTAGATCTCACTTACAGTGCATTTAGCTCATTAGAGAAGAATGCTCTGTCTAGGATTCCCAGATCGATATTCAGTTTTCAGCATTGTTTTTAACTCCATAACTCTTAGCCGGTAAGAATAGACAAGTGTGTATGGATATTCTCTGTATGGTATAATTGCACATGGTTAAGGGGAATGTACTATTTTGTGATTTATCTCGATGTTTTCTATCATTATCATTGTTTGTTACAAACCTTTTCTATTTATCTCTGTAAACAGAAATTCGCTTTAGGGCGTGAGCTTTTCGATTTGGTTTGTCAGTGTCTAGAGTTAGAAGAGTCACAATACTTTGGTTTGGCGTACTATTTAAACCGTTCAGCCACAAGAAACTCTACGGTGGGAACGCATGGAGATGAACAAGATAGTTCTGACGTATCGTTTCGTCTGTCTTCCTCTTCGATTGATGAATCTCACTTGACTAAATTTTGTGGTTTTCCCATGACCAACTCGTTCAATCCTTGTAAAATGTACTCGAATGATACAACATATCCTGGCTTTAATCCCTTTTTCATTGACGTTCCTGTAAGTCGATTTCCACTCATTTCTGAATTTTTGGGTTATCTACTACTAAATCTTTTAGATATATACCTTACATAGTGATGACATGATTGTTTGAACTTATTTTAATGTAAATGTCCTTATTTTGTAGTAACAGATTTTTGACTATTAACGAAAGAGGCTCTCAATTTTCATGACAGTCTGTCTTGTGAAATCTTCAAATAAAGTGATCAGGGACTTCTAATCGGATTATCCGGGGTATGGTCATCGGAATTATTGGTAGCACACTGAGTTTGCTCATTTGTTTTTTCAAGGACTAGCTAAATTCTTCCTGTGTTAGTCAAAGAGAAGTTAACTTAACTGACTTTATTTTTACAAAATGATATTGTCCGTAGTTATATGACATCAAACGTACATGTATATTTTCAACAACCGTAAGACTTTATTGATTCCGGCTGATTATTTTAAGGACAATATGCCCTCATGGTTTCACACTTGAGTTTATGGTTTTGTGTTTGAGAGTATTATCTCTCCGTTTATTGAATCACAATTAACCTTACGTTGACTGTATATTCTTATCACTTGTGAATGTGTGTTTTGGCATACATTATGGTGCTATGGTTCAATGATTTTGGCATATAATATCCACTCTCCACTCATCTTCTCAAGATCAATATTTCCATTACAGTTGACTTGAACATACGACGTTGTTCATCTTCATAGGATAAATAGTTTAGTTCTCAGTTTTACTACATAAATCTATGTATGATTAATCTTTTGGATTGTCTCACACTTAAACATTGATTATATTTGTAAAATTGACCAAACTTTATTCGTCTATACTCACAAAAATGTTATATATTTCATTCAGTTTTGGTTAGATGTGGAAAAAAGAATAACGGATCAATGTCATGGTGAGTAAGTTTATCATTATTTGTTTTTTGACATTTAGTATCGTTTTGTAATCATTATTGTTCATTCCTTCATTCAGAGGAGCTGGCACTTTTCAGTACATCTCCTTTAAATGGTTACACTGTAGTCTGTGTCATAGAGAAGGGTTTCATATTTTCGGTAGTTAAAGTGATGAATAAAATTGTGGTCGATCGTTGACACACAGTGGCTCATAGTTTGGTATACTGATGAAATCTCGAGATATCATGCTGTTGATTCAAGAATCTGAATAGATTGATATCAAAATACAAAACAGCTTACCATGGAATAAGTTTTTTTGTAGTTAAGTGATGTTCACGCTGAATATAGTCATATAGATAAACGTGATAATATATGAGGGGGCTTTTATGTGGGTTCTCCCGCCGATGTGATCAACACTTGATCATAATTATATTTGTCGATCTTTGGTTGGCACTCGACGTCCTTGACCTAGGGATCTTATGGTAATGCTTGTCATTCGAGGTCCATTTATCCCCTTAACGGAAAATTTCGCTTCACAACTGGAGTATATAATCACCTAGGTTGGACATAAGGAGTGATTTATTTATTTATTTATTTAAACACATATATATTGGTACAAAAGGGCACCAGATACATATGCGCCACACAGTGAAGTGGTTGAGTAAATCGCCTACTTTACTTATCCTTGGAGTGTCATCAACTCTGATAAGTTAGTATCGTACTAAATTACAGTGTAGTTTAGGAGAACAAAAATGGGGACAATCGAATGTATTTGAACACAAAATTACAGAACATCTTAGTAAAATCTGAGAACCGTGTTGTAAATACTTAATTTGCAAAATGTCAATCGATTGTCTCAAACTTCGCTGTTCTTTTTGCAAATATCAGTCAATCGTCTCAGACTTCAATGTCCTTTTGTTTCCACACCAATCATTCTTTGTTCTCGTTTTTTTTTCGATCTTCTTAATCTTCTGCCTCCAGGCATTTCACTTTCGATTGATGATACATACTACTTATATCTGTCAACATCAGTTGCACACACCACAACGGCACGGGTTCTAAAAGCTTTATATGCCTGTTTCATTTGATTAGTTGGTGCATTACTGTCTTTCTGTCTTTAAACATATCACCTGTACTTGTTTTTAACGAGTGACCTTAGTATTCACAGAGTCGAGCTTTCTTATTTCAGGAGAATAGGACAAATGATATGACAAGTGCAAATTAAAACTTCTAAAGAAGGCAAAGTAATGGAAAGAGAATGTAAAGAAAGGACTTGGGTGATAATTTTAACCAACACCCTTTGGTAGCAAGATAATGAATGAAATTAAGCTACCAGTTTTATTAGTGAGAGAAACCATGCAGTCTTCTGTTATCGGGTTTCGTTATTTTATAGACCAAAACTAGCATGGTACCATCTACCTTTTCAACTCTAATAAACAATTATTGTCGTTACGAACTATGTCAATCTAGTTATCTGGTGGTTAAATGTGCTTTGGTTCGCATTTCTCTGGTGAAATTAACTGATCTTACTTAAGTCAATTTATACATGGTTATCTAGTTGTATTAGTGTTCACGCCTATTAGATTGGATTTATTCACTACTAGGGATTTGTTATATTTCTCTCTCTTCACTTTTATAATTTACTTCACCTTACAGTAGGAAAAAGTGGCGCAACAAATGAATTGAAAGTGAACGTTTATCTTAATCTTTGTTCACGTTTTATATGTTATGGTCCCGGTGTTTTACTTTAATAATACTTATCTATATTGTATTGATAGCTGACCTTTCCCTTTTTTAACGTTATATACTTTTACCGTGTGAATCCAAATTGACCTAACTTTGTTTGCTTACGGTTCTAAATTGCTTCCATGCTCTAATTATTTCACTGTTTAATATTTTTTTTATTCACAAGTATTACCTTTTTTCTGTTTGTTTTGACATTATTTTAAAGAAATGGTGTTTTTCTTTAATGCAGTTTTTCTTAAATATCGGATTCAAATAGTCTTACTTCTAAATCTTTCTCGTTTCTAGATGGTAGTTTCAAAGTAATAGTATTCTCTGTATGGTTTATACTAAACTGTATATATATTTATATATATATATATATATGTATTAATAGTTTTAGTGGAACTTTCCTCTTAGTTGAACTATTTCTTTGAAGTCTGTGTTATCAATGACATACTAATCTTATTATCTACTGTAAATTCACAATGAGTAGAGGTGTGCGTTTTTAAATAAACGTGTTTATCACTTTTTATTAGTTGAGTATTTTACTAGTTGAATTCATTAGTCGATTTAAGCTACACCACCACTGAGGACCTGGAAGCACTGAGCGGCTGTTTTGTCCTAGTATAGGACTCCTCAGCAGTGCTCATCCACGACCTACCTCATGTGGGACTCGAACTCAGAACTTTAGGTCTCTCATGTGAACGCTTACCCTCTAGAACATTGAGCCAGCATCCAACGGTGTTAATGTCCAACTCCAACCAACCCATGGTCTTGAACAACCATTCATCCATTGTCTGAGGTATATACCTGTCTCTACCCTACACAGATTGGACTCCACTGGTCACGGCTTCTCACAGGTACTCCAGGACTGATTAAAACTATTGTCTGATTGATTGGTTTTCCCATTTTTATTAGACTGAAAAATTTGTCAAGAGCTTCTAGCTCAGTTTATTTTATCAATATGAAATATTAATTTTTGATATTATCCGTCCTGATTGATTAGCTACATTTTTCGGAGTTTAGTTCATCTGGTGGATGTCTTGTGACTAGATGTTTTCTAGTCGTTTGATAGATAACTGGTTGATTGTTTATATCTGTTTGCCTTTGATTTCTCACGGGTTTTACCAGCTCATGGTTAAATTGTAGGTTTTGGTTTTAAGTTATTTTCCTAGTATTTATTTCTATACAAGTATACATATTAAGGCAAACAGTGCATAATTGAATTCATTCTATGCTGTTTCATTTGTAACTGGAGTTCAGTACTTATTGCATCACTTAATGTAAATTTTAAAACGATTACTCGATGGAAATTTTTTATGCAATATCATGCTTCACAGTTATGACATACTTTTAAATGTTTGGAGATATCGATTGGTAATACGTCCCTAATAGTGTCCCAAACTTTTAGAATATCGGAAAAACACTGAGCAGTAATCCATGTAGCCGTTAAAGTGGTAAGAATATTATGTAATCATATGAAGTAAAAATTGTCTATAGATAAAAGTTTATGAGTTTAATATCCACTAGGCAAATTTGTACGTGAAAAGAGAAACAAATAGGTAATAAAAAAACCAATAACCAGAGAAGCAAGTTAAAAGAATGAACGTAAAATTCACGGTAAAGTAGAAGATTAGACATCTCATCCTTAACCACATAGTTCTGACGTGAATTAATGAAACGCTAAAGTTTCTGTTGTACACAGGTGTATAATCCATACTTTTTTAAGTCGTTTTGTTTGCTCTTCTATATAGTGGAATTATGCAGCTCAAATTGTTGAGAATTTTAAGAATTGAAATGGTAATTTAGTTAAATTCTCTTTCTGATAATGAAGTAGAACAGTGTATCTAAATAAATATACTCCAGGCTGCCAATATAAAGGACTTCATAAAATCTGTCAAACTGGTAAGCATGTGTTGATGTGTTCAAAAGTGGGAGCTTTTCCCCAACGTATTCGTGTATTTAATGCTTAGTTTACAACGAATTTTTGCATACTAAACTTTTACATGTATAACTTATTGTATTGAACATTGTGCTTTACTTCAGGTTCTAAAATGATATTTTACTTTCAAGTAAAATTTTATCCACAACACCCTGATCTTGTTTTTGACTGTCCAAAGTCCAGATATCAATTTTGTCTTCAGTTAAGGCATCATTTAAGTATTGGACGGTGAGTTCTGTTTCCTTATACGTATATTATGATGACTTTTTTAAATTTTGGCCAGTTTTATTCGTAGTTTATATAAAAAAAGAGTTGTATTAAAAATATTAGACAATTTAATTATTCATCCATTAACACATATGCATCAGCCCAACCTGTTACATTTCATATGAGAACAGTTAGAGGAAACTTCTTAGAAGAGAAGCTGAAATAATGATATACGTAGTTCTAACAACTTTACATAAATATTATAGTTTACAAATAATGTATTACATTATAGAAGCAGAAATTATGAATTATTATTAAAACATGAAATTCGGAGAAATATAAGGAGTGCACACATCTACCCCTATGTAACTGCTTTTGAGTAATTTCATCCAACTTTTCTAACTGTAGAATATGATTCTTTCCCGGATCTCAGGCACGGAGTTTGAATTTTTCTGTATGATTGAATCCAATAATGAATAACTTTATCCACAGATTTCATGTCTTGATGTACCAACCCTTAGCTTTCTTCGAACTTGTGTGTCATTCAAAGACAAACAGTTACCAATTATGATCAAGGTCAACAGAACATCCTGCCCGCGCTACAGGTGGGTCAAAACAGTAAAAGGTCTATGTGGGTGGTGCCCATACCGAGATCGCGTCATATTTTAACACGTAAAGCTCTAGGTGATTGTTTGATTGTCTTATTATTTTATTTATGACCTTTTACAATTTTATAGATTCGGTAATTGTGAGTGCTAATAAGCAATTGGAGTTTTGGATTGGAATATACGACAAGAAAGATAGTCATTCAAAGTCTCTTACTTACTGACACCTGTCACTCCTCATGGAGCATAGGCCGCCAACCAGGATTCTTCATCGAACTCTCTCCTGGACAATTCTTTCCAGTTGTTTTCAAGTGCTATTCATTCTTTTGTTGTCTGCTTCCGGTTCCCGACTCAATATGTTCCTTGGTCTTTCTTTTTTTGTTTTGCCTTGAGAACTCCGGGTTAGGGTTTGCCTCATGATGCAGTTTGACGACTTCCGCGATGTATGTCCTATCCACTTCCAACGTCTTTTCCTAATTTTCTATTTATCTGGAAGTTGGTTTGTTTTCTGTAAGAGTAGGTTGTTGCTGATGGTATCTGTTCGACGGATTTAGAGTATCTTGCGTAGACAGGTAATTATATGGATGCCTGTATATTTTGATGATTGTTGTAGTTCTTCGATTTTCAGCTCTGTGCAATAGAACCATCTTGATGTTGGTATTGAAAATTGAGACCTCTTTGTTGGATCACAGACAGTTGTTTTAAGCTCGAGATGTTGTTGACTAGTAGGAATGCTGCCCTTGTTTTGCCGATCTATGCCTTCATATGTGCATCAGTTCTCACTTGTTTATCGATCATACTGATGTCCAGGTCCGTAAAAGTTTGCATCTCTTCCAGAGCATCTCCATCAAATATGATTATTGCTTATCCCAGCCGGAACATAATGAAACGGTTATTTAGTGTTAGTTCTATTATGTTTGGCACAAACTTAAAGTCAGTGGTCTAGTTTCATTTTCAGTGATAAATTTTTACTTTGTGAACTTTATAGGGATTCATTACTTAGAAATTATCATGTCATCTTTGCTTCTGTTTATTATCAGACTCTTATGCTCATTTGAAACTCATGTAATATTGGGAGCATTAATAGCTCAAATGGATCTAGGAAATGCTGTGAAACATCGACGATCTCGTAGTGGTCATTCAAGTTGTCGATCTAATCCATATGTTGAATCAACATCACATGATTTTTCACGTCGACAGTCAACTTCTCCAGCTCGAAGTTTTTCTTCCGAACGTAGATGTAGTTTAGCTCAACCTGAACATAGTGATGATAGTATTATATGGGATGCACGTGTTGATAATAAGTCCAAAATAGATAAACCTTGTTCATCTTCTGTTGGGAATAAAACCAGCACATACAATCATATTGGTTGTAGTTGTTCTACACAACAAATTGATAATATCAGTATAATGTATTTACAATGTTTACCACACTTAGCTAGAGGATCCGTTACTTCATCATCTATTCCACATAGTACAAACGACATATCAAACGGTAGTAGACCAAGTCTATTGTCATCTACGTTAAACAATATTGAAGATGTACTATTATCACCAGTAAAACAAACTTTTAGCCCTGGATGGTCTTATCCAAAGTCTGATTGTCGCTATTGTCCTGTGCTCTTATCACGCATTGCTCGATTACATCGAAATCTTAGGTAAGTGAACGTTACTTACATATATGTAGTTGTGTTTCATTTTATTAATACTATTCTAATTAAGATCGGGGTGATTTGTTGACAGAGTTATGTTTTTATCACATAGAAGCTTTATCACTAGGAATATTGCTAACCAGGAAAGTGAATGAACAGTTGTACTAATAATCTTTTCTAGCTTTTTTTACATTGATCAGTTTTTACAGTGTTTTATCATTTTTGACCTAAATAGATAAAGGTAAACATTGTGTCACTTCTTAACCTTAGTTCCTTGACATTGTGGCATATCCTAATCTGTCGTACTCTAGCACTGTTTATATAACGTCACTTCACAGTCATTTCAGTATTATAAAGTGTAATATAATAAAAAAAATCAGATAAATGCATTTGGAAATATTGTAGTAGTCAGATCTCGAGGTCATTGATGTTTAGGACTGCAGTTGATCAGTCTCTTATTGGCATATGTGCATACTGTACGTATTGCTTCGATATAGTCGTAATTCATAAGCATTATAAGCAAAGATGGATAGTGGCTAGCAGTGGACGAAACGTGCGTTCTGGATTCCATTGCTAGCCACTATCCATCTTTACTTATTATTTTGCATAGTTTATTGGATAGTATTTTTTTCTTTCTAAAATGTGATCTTACTTTAAAACATTTATGTTTCCATAGTATTTTAATGTTTCAACCATGGTATAAGATTCACTTTGAAAAAATTCAGCTTATCATAGTATTTTATTTGTCATTCATGTTGAATTTCTAATTTCATTGTTTTATCACCAATTAAATCTGTGTTCTAGCTTTTATTGTCTAGTCAGTAACATAATTTATTTTGTCGTCAAATGATCTATACTTTCTATTCTGACTTGAATTACATTGTTTTCTCCTATTAAATAATGCTTGATTCAGTTTCATAGCCTGAAAAGTCTTTGATGGATATCTCAGTCTACACGAATAGAGAGTTCAACAAGTTTTCAGTTATTTCACATTTAGCCATTGTTCAACAAAAGCTTGATTGGTGAATTCTTGTCTAGGTTTTTACACTTATCGATATTAAGAATTATATAAAAGTAACTTGTTGGTTAAACAGAAGTGTGTAGAAGTTGAATGGTTAACTATATCGACTTCTAATGATCATAGTCCGGAGTTATTTATTAAAACAACTGAGATTTAGCGGGAAATCGAGAGTAGAACTTTATTCTGTTCAAATCCTCTTTTTCTAATAATAGAGGCATCATTTAAGTGTCTGAATGGAGTTCAGAAACAATAAACCCAGAGAAGACCAAGAAGGTTCCACACTTGACCTTAGATGTAAATTCTTCACACTTCTATTAGTTTCAAAACATAACCATACGTATCAATGCCTTTCCGTAGATTTATTATATGACCAGAAGGCGTTATTCACTCACATGTTGAAAGGTCTTATGGTGTTGTTTATTATTAGTAAGTTTTTGTAAAAAAACATTTACCAGCTGAATGCTTCTTACTCGAATGTACTACATTCCGTTTGACTTCACTGCCATCACCAAAATCAGTTCTGTTAAATAGTCCCGTTTTCTTAAGTTAGTTGTACGGGCAGATTTTTCTCAGAATGGAAATCAGTAGTGATCTCATTCTAGTTTTTCATTCCATTCGTCATAAGAATGAAATGGACTAACAGAAGGTTTTCTTGACTATATTTATACCTAGATTGTATCTCATACTAAATAATTTTCTGGTTTATTTAATTTTTCATTGTACTACCGCTCCTCCTCGGTTTTTTCACTATATTAAAACTCCTTTTAAGTTGGACATTTTTCGGTACCTTATTGTATCATAATTCATATACTCAAGACAGTAAGTAAAACAACCCACATCTTATTATGATATCCTGCTGCACTTCTACCATTTTTTCATTTACTTGTTTCGTTTTTGTTATCCAAATTACCTTCATACGGGGTCTGATTAAAGAGTTAGACTATCGACCACGAAGTCACAGGTTTAAATCCTTTCCCGCATCATTTTTTAGCGACCGGGTAGTATCAGAAGCTCTTACGCTCAAAGTGTGGCTTTAAGCCTGGTGCATGAACTTTTACCTGATAACTAAGTTAATGATAATAATGATAAATCACTTTCCTATGTTGATGTTTTCATCCCGTAACTTATCTGATGGTTCCTCATCATCATTGTCCGTCAGTTGAAAAATAATCCTTAACATTTAGTTCACGCATTAATTAGATTATTGCTAGGTTTTCCGAAATAAATCCTTGGCTTAAGCTATGTAGTATTATTTTGTCCCAGTCCTCATGCCACATATACTAGCGATAGTTAGAGATAGGAAAATACGTCGTTTCTACATCTTATTTTCGCGAAAATAAAGTTAGAAATCTGAAAGAATTAAACAGTGCATGAGTAAGGACAACAGTAAGTCATTCTTATTCCCTGATCTTTATAATAGTACAGGGAAAAGGCAGTCTACTTGAGGGATCGTTATGCAAAAGGTAGAATAAGGGAAAAATAGAACTTGAGGCCAATATGGTTTTAGTAGCAAGTGTTTTGGAGTTTCATGGGAAAACAGCATGAATGACACTAGGGTACATTTCTAATAACCTTTAACTACAGTCCTTAATTATGAATTTTCGCTAATCCTGCTTACGTGGCCATATTGTGGACTTACATTGTGTTACTGAATTCAGATTTTGTTATGCCTGAAACTAAATCGATTCCGCGGTAACGAACGAAAGCCAATGACACAATGACACGATAAGCTATTCTAATCGGTTGTCCCAGGCCTCGCTAACTAGATGAAGAAGTTCAAGGCAAGTAGGGGAATATATATGTATTCCGTAAGCAGCCGAGTACAAGCAATCGAATAATGGAAAAAGTCAAGCGCATTTATACAACAACAATTTGTCCTTGAGCATCATTGGTAAATAGCACACACAAAGAAACAAAGGACCAATAGCGGTTAAGATAGTTTACAGGTGGGAAATATGACGTGAAGGTAAAAAGAGCGCTTTTGGCGCGAAAACAGCTAAATTCAAATTTTCAAAATAAAACTACAAGATTAAGCCATTTACCAAGTAAGTTCTGGGGATTTGACATCCCCAACACCTCCCCTTTTTAAGAAATCCGAGCTCCTCCTCCCCCACGAAATAGTGTTGGATCCTCATAAACCCAATTTTCTACTAATACGATTCTATTTATAACATGTTTCTGGCATTCAATAGGGAACCTGCTAAGATTGACTGGATGGTGAGGATCGACACTTGATGTGAGGTCAGAATTTGATTCTGCAGAAATGTAGTCATTAGACTTATTGCAAACATCACTGGCAGGTTGTGGATCACTATGAAAAACAGTGTCCAGCAAAACTGCGCTAGGTTCCGGATTTGATGCATGTAACAAATTTCCTGGACAAGCTTGGGAATCTTTGGCATTAGATTCGGTAAAAATTTCTATTGCAGAATGCGATTCGCTCGGTGTGCTGCTCGATATGATGTCTGGCACTTCGTAGGTGATTGGTGCGACCACTTCATGAGCTTTTAACATAGCATCGTGTTGATGAGAGCTGAAAGCGTCATTGATAGGACCTGCTAATTCCAGGATAGTGGAGTTTGAATCCACTACCGAGCATGTTGCTGAAACGGATAGTGATGGACAACCGGGCATGTCTTGTGATACTGCAGTTTCGTTTAGGTTGCGGCTTGTTGAGGAATCATGGGGGCTGCGATCATTTGCTAGCTCTGTGTACAATTCAGAGATTAATACATCCACTTCTGACGCATATGTGAAGCATTGATGATCAAGAAACTGTGTACGTAGTTTGACCATGAACTCCAAATGTCGGTCAAAGAGCAACTGTAAGCGGTAAGAAGGGAGCGTCATTTTTCACTTTTGTCCCCGTCGCCAATTGTTATGCCTGAAACTAAATCGATTCCGCGGTAACGAACGAAAGCCAATGACACAATGACACGATAAGCTATTCTAATCGGTTGTCCCAGGCCCCGCTAACTAGATGAAGAAGTTCAAGGCAAGTAGGGGAATATATATGTATTCCGTAAGCAGCCGAGTACAAGCAATCGAATAATGGAAAAAGTCAAGCGCATTTATACAACAACAATTTGTCCTTGAGCATCATTGGTAAATAGCACACACAAAGAAACAAAGGACCAATAGCGGTTAAGATAGTTTACAGGTGGGAAATATGACGTGAAGGTAAAAAGAGCGCTTTTGGCGCGAAAACAGCTAAATTCAAATTTTCAAAATAAAACTACAAGATTAAGCCATTTACCAAGTAAGTTCTGGGGATTTGACATCCCCAACAGATTTACAGTTAACTTAGCGGCAAACAATGTTTGTGCTCACAACAGGTGAGATATAATATAATTAAGGCGTTTGTACTTACGTGTTGGTTTGTGATTTACATAAAATTATTGGAAATAAAACGGTTGTCATTCAGATAAGTTTCAGATCATACTGGTTGTTATGTTTATGTTAGGTAGTGGGTGGAAACAGTGGAATTAGAGTTCATGCTAGCTGGCACTAGTCAACCAGGAGTACCTGCAGTCGTTAGGGGTTTCATAACCCCTATAAGTTTCAAAACCCGGTCACTCAGTTTAAAGAATTGATACGTTATCACTGAGCTATTGAGGCTATGACTGACATTGAACTCTATCAACGAAGTCACAATGTGGCCATTAGTTTAAGTGATTCGATTAGCTTTGAGGTCTAGGCAAGTATCACGTTAACGCACTAATCACTGATCACTCACTGCAAGTTATTTTTTATGAAAAACAGTTTATCATATTTAGTATTCCGATGCGATCAAAATTTTCTTTAATGCGTATTTCTATGATGTCAATTGTATTCAGTGGGTTTTTCTTTTCATTTCCTCGATGCTAATAAATTCATCATTGATATCCTTCTATGAGTTTTCTGTTACAATCATTAATAACATTTTCATGTTTTCAGGGGTATGCCTCAAAAAGATGCAGAAATATCATTTTTAAAGAATGTGAAGAAATTATCATTTTACGGTGTTGAATTACATCCAATAAAGGTAATCCTTTTTTATTTCACTTTACTTCTGTGTGACAATCATGTAGAGGAAGTCTATCATGTTGGATTTTTTTTTTGATTCATAAGTTATATTTTAATTTGGAATATTTAGAAGCATCAGATATTTAGTCCACTTTAAATTCTGTCTGCTAATAATTTATTGAGTAGTAACGTCACTATTGATTATCACTTACTGGAGCGCTTGAACGTTTGGATTAGTACTGCTGTTATGATCGAAGTATGTAAAATTAAGTTAAACTGATTAGGTAATAGTTAAAAGATTAATCTTTTTAGCAAGAAAAACTGTGTTCGTTACAGTTTTCTAGTAGATATGTGTAGACACGTGTTCATTAAATCCTAATATATTGACTAGTTATCTTAACTGGAATGAGTTTAATAATATAAAGTATAATTTTAAAAACAGTTAATGTTTTTCATGTGAATGTTTGTACATTTTACCTGTATGGTGTCTTATAGCCGAATTCCCAAGGTTTTTTGAAGATATATATTAAGCTGATTGACCGTGAGGCTGGAAATTCATTTTTTGATTGATATATTGATGGACAATAGGGATTTGAAATGTGGACCACTTCTTCATCTAATTTATTTATACCCACAACAACTGTTAATGTAAGAGTTTATACTCGCTTCTTTGTTGGCATTTTGATTTCGAGTCCCATTCAAGATGTCAGTACTGAAAGTTTAGGACATATAGCCGACTGGATCAAACACGCATTTTGGAATTTATTTGTTTAAACACATAAATATTGGTACAAGGAAGCACCAGATAAATATGCGCCTCACAAATCTCATTCGATTTGTGTGAGGGCTGTGATACTGCCCAGGTGCCCAGACTGAAGCAGGTGGTTTGCTTAGGGGACCACACCCGGAGCCTTTGACCTAAAGGTCTGATCCACAAGGCAGTGGAGCATCGTGGGGAGATGCAGTCCCATGGTAGCCGGTGACCAATAGTTGGTTCATACGCCATTCGTTCCTTCAGGATCCTGGAGCCCATGTGCACCATTGGTTTGGAATCAGGGTTTTCCAACTTCCCTAGGTGGACAGGTCGTGTCCACCAACCCGGTTAAAGCGCCGGACATTCGCTTTTCGTCCTCTCACTTTTGTGAACAACAGTATTGCCACGAGAAGGCAGTGAGTAGGACTTCCCTGGCAGAGGCTATATATTCGCGTGGCCATATGAGAGCATTTCGATAGGGAGAACAGACTCTCCTCACTCTCGGCCGTACGAGGGCATTTGGGGGCTGGCGCTCGATGGGGGTCCATTGTTAATCACTGTTCAGAATGTAGCAGACTTCTGAAGAACTCAAACAATATAAAGGTATTCATTCAAGATGTCTATATACCGACAGAGACTGATCGAATTCAGTCTTGTTCATTCACAACCGAAAAATGTGAATCCTTACAAATACTATCTTGATTGTAAATATTTATCTGGAAATTGTTAGAAAAGAAAAAGCGATAACAGTATTGCCATGTATAAACAGTGCATCAGATAATATACGCAGGGTATTTAAGGAACAAGATAAATACTAAATATAAGCCAGCAAAATTACTCTTAGTAATATTTTGTTGATTATGTAAACTCATGTGCACAAAGCAGCTTACTTAGCACTTAGCCTGTTTGCACTGAACTATATGGGTAAGTGTTTTACTTTCTTATAAGTTATCGAGTCCTGTAGATAAGACCAAACAGTAAATCAACAATAGCTACTTTTAGTCACAAAGATCGTAAGTAGTATTATAAACTGTGACTGTGATCTGAGTATTACTATACCTTCATCCACCTGGTTCTGAGTTGGAATTTGTTCGTCACCTTGGTTTGTCTCATTTAGCTAGTTGGTACAATGTCTTAATTATAGATTTTATTTTTGTCATTACTTGTAAGTATAATACATAGTAAAACTTTAGAAAACTTATACTCTGGCTAGAGTCTATAAGTCATTTTGTAGACGTTAAGGAATATGTTTTTCTAAGTTTTAGGTTAATTGAATATATATATATATATACTTGCTTTATTATGTTCATTTTGATTGTAGAAGTTTCACGCTAGTTATATTTCATCTGGTTCTTTTAAAAATATAACAAAGAAATTGGCCAATTCGTTTTCTACTCGTTCTCGAACTAGTTCAGTTGAATCTTATCATAATTTTATTGATACTTCAAGTATTGGTTCTAATCAATTATTTAACTCGAACAGGACACACAATTCATTATCTATATCTGGCTTGAAATCATCCCTACGACGAATGTTTAGCGTTAAATCACAAGGTTAGTTGATACTTTGGTCTTGGTATCTGTTTATTCTCGAACCTTTCAATCGAGTTAGCGATTCTGAGGTTAGACGCACAGTACTAAGTAAGACTGACAAATCGATTGACTAGGAAGTGAATATTTATGGGTTGAGATGGTTAGGTTATATTATTATGTAGACTCGACGTGCAGTGATGGACAGTGTAAGAGTAGGTTGAAAGAGAGCTTGGGAAAACTAAGCCTAGACTTGGGATCAGTCTATAAAGATATTGACTATTATTAGGTACTTACTAACTGGTTGAAGTTCGCGTGATTATCATAACCAATTGTTAGAGACTTTTAATGACATGACTCAAAATGTCACAAATGCATTCACTGATTATTTTCCCTTACATCCGAATTTTCTAAATTCCTTACAATTTTTTATTTATTTTTATTTCAATAACTTATATTTTTTTCTCCATTCGCATATTGAATCTTTTCTATTACCGCTAATACTGTTACTACTCTTAATATTCTGGTATTTATCTTGACAGTTTCATCTCTTTGTCCTAATCGGATATGACAACTTGAACCGATGTACATATGTGCCAGGTTCGACGTTGGGTTTATTGACTGACTAGCTGGATTATTCTTTTTCAGCACTGTTCTTGTCCATAATAAATGAGTTTTGTTCATTAATAAACTTAGATATTTTATTATTTAACGTGTTCGTTTAAAAAAGTTTTCATTTCTGTTTTATATTTTCTTATTTGGACCAATTTTTAGATCAACCATTATTTCCTTTTGCATTTAATGATTATCCGAATTTCGATTTTTCTTTGGGAGTATATTTTGCTGGTTTATTTCTACAATGGGGTCATATACGTTTATCACATTATAAATGGTCTCGGATTGTGAAAATCTGCTTCTATTTAGATGAATTTTGTTTAGTTGTAAAAAGTAATGTAAGTCTGTTTTACTGTTTTTACTTTGTTGCAAATTAATGCACTTCCAATTAATTATTTAAGATGTAAGATAACTATGCAGTCTAATACTCTTATTTTTACCAATTGTTCCCTAATTCCTGCTTCAGTCTGGGCACCTGGGCAGTATCACAGCCCTCACACGAATCAAATGAGATTTGTGTGGAGCATATATATCTGGTGCTCCTTTGTACCAATATTTATGTGATTAAATAAATAAGTTCCCTAATTAACAACATTGTTTGATGTTTTTTGTGGCTTACAACTTCCTTTTTGTACGGTTTCTTAGGGTTAAAATATATTTGTAAGGTATTTACAAATCATTTTACTCAAGATTTTGAATTATTATTGAATTCTGAATGAGCTTGATTAGTGATGTTAATACAGAAAAAATCTTACCTATTGGTAGTGTAGTTCGATTAACGGTATTGTGAGATCATCAATCCAACTACATCGTTCATATTAATATTCTGTCTAATTGATTAGAGGTTATAAATATATACACATATATAAATATACATCCTTTAGTATCTATTGTATTCACAGCTGAAAATGGTTCTATCTACCTGTGTTTTTTATTTCAGCATATTAAATCTTCATCGAGTCCCCGTATTTTACTGAAGTGTAAATTTGCCTTCCAAAAACTAGCCAGACGTTTCTATAGAGCATGTGTTGAACATCATATGTTTTTTAAGTAAGTCTTTTTATTGAGCATTTTTTTTGTACTCAAAGACATTGTAGTAACGTAAGTTTTTTGGTAGGGATGCTTATGAATTCTAATCATTATACATAGTAAACGTTGAAAACTTATTTTCGGAATTGCTTATCAATGAAATGAAGTGTCTCTTGTAAATGATTCAATTGGTTTCTATGTTATTCATAGTCTGTTTCGAAAAAAATTGATATTATTGTGTACATACATACATACTTCAGGTAAACACAACAACTGTTGGGGATGTCAAATCCCCAGAACCTACTTGGTAAACGGCTTAATTTTGTAATTTTATTTTGAAAATTTGAATTTCCTTGTTTTCGCACCGAAGGCGCTCTTTTCACCTTCAAGTTGTATTTACCACATGCTACTGGTCCGTTGTATCTTTGAGTGTGCTATTTTGTAATGTTGCTCAAGGACAAATTATCGCTGTATATATACGTTTGAATTTTTTCCTCTTATGACTTGCTTGTACTCGGCTTCTTACGGAATATATATTCCCCTACTTCGCCTTAGACTTCTTCCTCTAGTTAACGGGGCCTGGGTCAACGGATTAGATTAGCCTATCGTGCTATTGTGTCATTGGCCTTCGTTTGTTACCGAGATAATCGACTTAGCTCAAGCATATCAACAACGAAATCAATTCAATAGTTATGGTGATATTTTTGAAGAATCAGACAAAATCAGTATACTATATGAATTAGATGAATAAAATGATATGATGATAAAATGATATTTTCTTTATTAAAAATAATCGCGAGTTATATAACAACAAATATTCAACGATTTTCTCTGTCTGATTAACTGGAACCAAGTAGCTTATAGTTTCCAACTTATCTCTGCATAATAGACAAACTTGAGTGTTTAGTCGAACTTTATCGCTAAATCATCAATCCTCCATTCCCTCAGTATAAACAGTGTGTTGGGATCATTTGTAATCCCCTTTTGTGTAGCACAAGACTATGTTGTGTTAGTTGATGTGTTTTTCCAATTTCATTGGTTCAATTATGCTTTTACACCTAACTTTGAAATCACTCACATAGCTATTTGTTTGCATACAAAGTATGCTTCAGATCAACGAACATTCAATGCAATATACCAACTACATTTACCATCGTCAATTATAATACAGGAATCGATTGTCTTCGGCAGTTTGGTGAACTTCGTCTAGGTCTTTTGGTATTAAGTCCTAAAATAGATATCATTACAACTTCGTAAACTAAACAATGGGTTTTCTTGCATTTGGTTTCATTAGTGTTTGTAGATATGAATCACTTTACTAAGTAATTAATCCATTAAAGTTATTCTATGAAGTTATATTTACTGCTAGTTACTGGCTATTGCTACAATGATATTTTTAAATTCGACTGAGTGAATCACTGACCGATACATGTACTTTGATATAATGTTATTTGGTATCATGGCTATATATAGATTGACATTGTTCATTCATATACACTATTTCCTTGTTTGCACCCTACTTAATTATTGTTATTTTCGAATAACGCTGAATAATTGAAATGAGTTTCTTTTGTATGTGTGCATGTATTGATGTTCTCGTTTTTTTCTTTTTTGTAGGATTCACTGCAAACACTTAGTGAATTCAAATATTAATAAACGAGAATCTTGTAAAACGAAACCTATTGTTTTACCTGTAAATCATACATTACATGTAAATAATGAATTATTAAATCATTCAGTATCTATAAATGGCCCTTGTAGTATTAAACTATTGTCTGTGAGTACTTTACAATCACCTAAACTACCAGCCACGCCTACACGATCAGAATTTGAACTAGGTATGTTAGATTAGCACATAAAATTGTCTAATGATGTCTATTTTTTACTAGATTTTTTCTAGTTATCTTTAAGTGTTATTATTTACTTACTTACTTACTCCTGTTACCCCTCATCGAGGAGCATAGGCCGCTCACCAGCATTCTACATCCAACTCTGTCCTGAGCCTTCCTTTCTAGTTCTTTCAAGTTTCTATTCATCCTTTTCATATCTGCTATTATTATTAGTTGATGGAAATGTGGATTATTTTTGGGATAACTCCTACACTTCTTGATAACTATTATTAAATAACTCATAACGGTGCATAAATTTCAGAAGACAATGCAACTTGTTGACTACCATTTACTGTTGTACAGCTCATATCACAAAGCTACAAAAACACGAAGCGAATACGAATAGAAGTGGAAACGCAAATGAATGCGAGCGAACGAATAAATAGGGTTTAAGAAGTCATATATATATATATATATATATATATATATATATATATATATATATATATATATATATATATATATAAGTTCAGCGGGGAACTAACATGTAAACTAGTAAGAGGAATATATATGTAGGTTGTAACATGATAACACAAAAAATATAGACAAACTGTTACTGACCCAGTGACACTGTTAAATAAGTTATTTGAAGAGGTTAATAAAATTAAACGTATACAAACTCAAGTTTAGAGGGGAAGTGCTATAAACTTTGGTGTTTCACTTATGGGTCATCAGCACAATCCTGATAAAAATGTTTGTATGTTTATCATTAGACGAATCAACATATTAGAGTTCAAATTAATAGTGGAAAAGTTGGAAATATATTGTAGGAGGAGTCAGTCAACTATTGAAGTTATATCCACTTTGAGGTAGCTTAGTATAATATCCAAAATGTTTGGGAAAGATCACTGGATTTCAGCGGCACCTACAGAACTGATTGCTGCTTAGAAACCCATCCCATCTGTCTCTTAAGAAGATTAGAAACGGAGGCAACTTAAAGTGAAAAAAGCCTACGCAATGATCGTGAGGAGTGATGGGTAGCATAAGAAGAACAGACGAAAAAGGAAGCAGCGATAGGCTACAGTAGACAACTGTTCAGACATTAAGGAAACTGGTGTTAATAATCCAGATGTCAGTGAAATTATTTTGGAAAACGATGGGGATATTAATCACTCTCAATCCAGGAGATAGAACCTGTGGGCAGAACATTTTGAGGGACAGTTCAACTGACTTTCAGGTACACCTCAGTTACCCACTATTTCCAAGAAACCTAAATGGTAAACTGGTTGCAGTTCCATCTGTCTGGTCTCGGTCGCTGATCATCCCAGTCTATAAGAAAGGACTAAAAGTCCCTTGTGACAATCTCGGAGTAATTAGTTTAATTGAAATAGTGTCTAAAATATTAGCCCCAACAATACTTCGATGTCTAACTAATTCTTGTCAAGAGTTAATCCGAGAAAACCGAGCTGATATCAGACCTGAGTGTGAGTGTGTGAACCAAATATTCACCCTTTATCAGGTTCTCAAAAACGGTCATACTTTTTGACGTCCAACTATTGTTTTTTTTTCTGACATAAAGGCAGTGTCCTGTACTCACCCTGGATGGTGAGGAGATCGAAGTAGTTGAGAAGTTCGTGTATCTAGGTAGCTATATAAGTGCTGGTGGCGGCGTGAGTGATGAGATTGATGCACGTATAATGAAAGCCAGAGCGGCTTATGCCAATCTGGGCCATCTTTGGCGCCTTCGTGATGTTAGTCTGGCTGTAAAAGGTCGGATCTACAACGCGTCGGTGAGAGCAGTTTTGCTCTATGCTTGTGAAACCTGGCCTCTCCGAGTTGAGGATGTTAGACGTCTCTCTGTGTTCGATCATCGTTGTCTCCGAAGGATTGCTGACATCCAGTGGCAACACCATGTTAGTAATGCAGAGGTTCGGCATCGTGTGTTCGGGCGCAGAGACGATAATTCAATTGGTGTCACCATCTTGAAACACCGACTTCGGTGGCTCGGACATGTTTTACGAATGTCGTCCCAGAGACTTCCGCGTCGTGCATTATTTGCCGACCCTGGGACTGGTTGGAGAAAGCGGAGAGGAGGTCAGTGTATGACATGGTGTCGTGGAATGAAAGAGAGCTGCAAAGGGCTAGCTTCCGTTGGTCCTTCACGACTCCCTGGTTGGGGTCCGAGAGATAGTGCAACACAGTGGCTAGAGACGTTATCGGATATGCCTCAGAATAGAAGCCAGTGGCGATCCTGCTGCAACCTTCTTTTACTTTCTACATAAAGAATGGTTCTAACTTTCCTAACTGAAAGAATCTTCTGGTTGTACATTTCAGCCCGCCTTATCTTTTCATCCTTTATCTACCTACTTTCATTATTTTGTGTGGCGCATATGTACCTGGTGCCCTTTTGTACCAATATATATGTGTTTAAATAAATAAATAAATAAAAGTGTCCGACTGTGCTGGTCGGGAGGTTCCGGGGCAGTGTCAATCATCGTAAGATATACCGAAGAATTATGTTCACCTTTTATATGCTGTCGACTCGAACACTACTGATCTGGCCAAAGCCTTACTATGAACTGCCATTGTAATTGATAACTGAAAACGGTGTTCGTCAGGGTTTTCCACTTTTATTTAACTTTTTCATAAACATACTTTCAGAGATAACACTTTCATCCTCTGACTTTTCATGACTTGATCTTCTACCAGGAGATTCACTTATTGATTTAGAATACGCAGATGATATAGCTCTGTTTTATGAAGATGCTGACAAAATGTACTGTTTTCTGATCACCTTAAGGAACAATACAAGCATATTTAGGATGCGGTTCGCTCCCTCCAAATGTAAAATGTCACTTATGGATGGGCTTGTGTCATCGCTCGTTCTACTTTATGACGGTGAAAAGTGACCTTTAGAAGTAGAGGATATTCTTAAGTTTCTGGTATTCGTTCACAGGTGTCTTCGAACCATTGATCCTGTATTTTGAAACCACGGCGTAAGCAATGCTTGGGTTAAAATTTGAGTACCAGGTAAATATGAGAAATCGACAGATGAGGTAATAAATATTAACTAACTGAGGTGGTTGGGACACGTGCAGATGCATCCGTTCTTTTTCTTCCCCCAAATTCTGAGATTTTACATCCATTTTTACTGCAATAAGCGATAAGTTTCATTTGCATATAAAACTTGGCCTCTTATGAAATCATAATTACTTTTGATGGGGTTTTGTTCTCTGGGCTGGATGGTTTGGTCGTGGAGCTTTCATCGTCCTACTGAACGACATCATTAGCACAAACTTCATGTTTTTTTAATTTCAGTAGATGCTATCATGTTCATCTAGTGAAAACATTAGACTTGTAGTTTGAACCTATCAGTCTTAAAATCTAGTTCTGTTAACCATTTAGTTAGTTGTTGAAATTGCATTTCAGACTTTCGTTTTGTTGTATTTCATAAATTAATGTATCAATATTACTGTGTTGTTTATTTTAGATATCTATATGATTTAATAAACTGTTCACAAATCTTCTATTCTTTCGATTTGATTTCTTTTGTAGATCAGCCACATTCATCAAACCCACAATTAAATAATTGTGAATTTTCTGAGTATTCTGAAGAACGTGTACATACTCCTCAGACAGATTCGAAATTTCGAACGAATATGGATTCAAATAAGGTGATTCTATACCTTATGTTTGTATAAGTCCTATTATCATGAATGGATAAAATGGACTCCTATTTAGTCAGCACTGTACAGATAGAAAAACAAGATAGTTATGAGCAATAGTCTGTTTGAAAAAATGTCCTTCAGGTCTCCAATTTAAATAGTACAGACCATCCAATTTATCTTTTTGCATCGTTTTGATGCATGAAGTTACATATACAGACTACAAGTTATTACATCACTATATTTGTCTTTAATGATCATCATCATTTTTATTTAGGAAATAACTTTAACACAAATGATAGAACGTTGTGTTATAAATGTTCGACACTACTTCCACAGTAATTTTTGATCCATAAATCGAATATTTGTACAAAAATGAAAAGATTACCAAGTGATTTATGAGGATCTAGCACCCCTAACATTCTTTCTTAACGTACAGTAAACTAAACAAGTATAATGTAGACTGTGTTTTGTTTGGATGCATATTATTCTCTAATATTTAGGCAAATTAATTTTATTTTTGAGTAAATAACTTCCATTCATCTGGCTTTTGTCAAATTTTTTAAAAAATAGAACATCTACTCGAATGGCCATTTACTCCTACCGTGTACTTCAAATGAACTATCGACACGAAGTGCTTCATTTACTCATTTAGATAATTATTCAGTTGCTCATATTCCCAGTCCAATTGAATGTTCTAGTCGTTTAGATATTTTAAATTCTTCTGTAAATGATGATAATATTGATGATAGATGTAGATCTGCAAATATTCCATCATATGATTGTTTACAAATAACAGACGATCGAAATTCAAATTCTTTCGATTGTTTATGTCGTATTACATCAACTCAAACTGATATACATTCATCATTTAATATTAATGATAAGTAAGCTTGTAATATAAATTTTTATTTGCAGTGTACGGTGACTTGTTAATTTTTGCTTTCTTAAGAATTTTTTCTACATCAATTATTAATTGTTAATTTACAAGGTGATTAAATTGTTCACATCATTTAACATTTCCTCAAGCTTTATAGGTTCTCAAACTTCTAATTTACTTTGTAATTATTAGTGTTTATCATCAAGAAGCTTTTAGAGAGTTCGGAGTGAAAATTATGCATATCATTTAATACTATAATGCTAATCCTCAATCGTGATTAGTTTTTCGTATATTTGGAAAGGAATACTATTTAATTGTTCTTTATCCCAAGTTAATCGGCGTTTCAATAGAGTTGGTAACCAAGTATATCATCATATGTATTTGGTTTTGTGTCATCTTGTCATTTAAAAGAGGTAATTATCATGGTTAGATGGATTAAAATGTAACAGGTACATGGAACTTCGTCTTCATAACAACATAGCAGATTCTTAGGTTATGGATTCCAGAAATGTTTGTTAATTAGATAAGCTATTGAATATTAGTAAGTAATATTATTCATACGAAAAAGATAGCAGATGAGAAAGAAATTTGTAATTAGGTGGCAGATTTGATAGTATTCTCTTTAAAAGTCTGTCAAAAATCGCTTCATTTATTCTTTTCTACGTTTTATACTGTGTCATGCACTATTAGATGTTTTGTTTCAACAAATATGAAATATATGTCTATGTGAATCCTTATTTCCATTTCTATCGTCAACAACCATTAGCTATTGGTAAAACACTGCGAATCATCGAGGATAGCAATGTTTCGTGACAATGCTTATAAAATTAGTCGTAAAACGTATTATGACCTAGTTCAGTCAACCTCATACTAATAAATCTGATCTAAAAAGTTATGGCTGAAGAACTCGAGTTGAAAAGAATGAAACTCAGAGAACATCGGTTAGCATTGCAAAAACTAATGTTAATTAATTTAGATCATACAAACTTAGTGAGACGAACTCTCGGCTAAGAAATATTACTCACTGAAACTGATTACGAATTTAGGTTGAACCGTTCGGCGGAACATTAAAGTAGTGATTCGAAGAGTCCTTAGCTAACAGGAGTTCTAAAAACACGTCATGAAGAGAATGAAACTTATTGTCATTAAGAAAATTCAGCAGAGAAAATCTTTTTTTTTTCAATGAAATCATTAACTTAAGCTGTACATTCGTATTTATAGTTGTATAGTAAGGGAGGTCGAATCGAAAACTTATACACTGCTAAGGCATTGGCAATCCACTAATTCAAGCCTAAACTCTGTGTACAAAAGTAATACGTTCAACCTGACAACGTTCCTTGGCCCTAATTCCCTTTTTATTAATACTATTATTATTCGATTAGTGTTCTGTTAATTGTAAACCGCATTTACTTATTATTATCCTTTGACAATTTTTCATGATTATCACTTAGTTCTTATTATGACCTTTATGTTTTTCGTTTTTTTCTTCATATCTGTCAAGTAGACAATTAACTTTCAATATTCTGACCCGTAAATTATTTTCATCCTTATATTCCTTCCTTACTCCTTGATTATTGCATAACCGCATTTGATAATAAGTCTCGAGTCAATTCATGATGCAATCTCTCTTATCCTTTTATAGACATATATTTACCATACAACTATAAATACGAGTGTAAATGATTCCATCGAAAAGAAAATCTACTTCGCTGAATTCTCTTTATTTTATTAAATGACATAAAGGGTTATTTTATTTATTGTCATTAATCGACGATTTAAATGTTTGTAACTTAACCAAAAAGCAATCAGTATGAATATCAATTAGCTGTATTCACTTTCCTGAAATTCTGTTGTATAAATCACCTGATCTAGAAAGTACATAATGTATTCAGCAATATGTTTTTTGTTACATTCGATGCAATACCATAATACGCCAAGTTTTGTAATTTCTGCAGCTGGATTTATTAGCGGTTCCGTCGAGAAAAAAGTAGTTTTTCATAGAATCCATGGCATGTGTTTTGTTTGCATTAAACGTTTCCTTTTCGCAAAGAATATTGTAAAAATACACCAAGTCAATATAATTGGGTCCACCTTCTAAATGCCATGTAATTGAGTTTTGTTTGTTGTTTTTTTCCTATAGTTTAAGTGTGTTTTAAATGAATAGCGTATCCTCGTGATGCATATGATAGTATGCTCTGTCTATATTTTTCAGCCCTGCTATTGATTCAGTGTACACATATTCCGAAAATCCAAACTTTAAACCATCTACTGATGATACCTGTCAAACTCTTCTTGCATGTGAAATTCCTAATCTACTACCCAGTTTTATTCCTATAAATTGTGCCTTGACAAATCCAATGGAAGAATATTTACCCACTGATGTACTTCATTGTTTATCAGCTTCGGAGCATATTTCAAGTGATTTTTCACAGGTCAGGATTTTTTATTTAATTTTGTAAACATGTTTTACGAAAATGGATATAGGCATTTAAGAGATCATCACTAAAAACATGGAAAAATTTTATAAGTACCAATTATCATTGTGTACTTTATGCTTAATTTTTATCTGACGTCGTACGAAAAGGTAAACTGCACATTTATCAAGTTGGAAACGGTGATGTATACTTATTGATGACATAGAGTTGCATTGTTTGAACTGATTAAGGTGGGCAATTATTGGGTTATTATGAGCTGGGGAAAAAATGTCCAATGTGTCAAGTTTCTATCAATCGCTGATGAAAAATTACCTTTAAAAATTAACAGTAAATTCGTAACTATCAATGAACTTTTAGTCGTCTAGTTTCACGTCACATTTGTTCGTGAAGTATTGTATTGTCCTTTAATAACTAAAATAACAGCATATGTCTTAGCTGATCGGCAAAAATATCTCAATGCCTGTTTTGCTGCGCCTGAGTGATGTATTTTGAATGAGAATTAATGGAGTTGGTTTGGAATTGAATGAACTGTTAGAGAACTTGGATATATCAACTTGTTACCAATCGAATATAATTTTCAGTAACCTGTTTATTGACATGAAGTTGTTACGATATGGTTGTTTGGAGGAAATTAAGTAAGACTCATTTTTATTCTAATATTTAGCGATATTTTACTGGAGCTGTCGGAAATGGTTAAAAAACTGACTGACTTATTCAGGAATTTAGATTCATTTGCGTGATCCATCATTTTGTGATGACTTTTATTGTGATTTACATACTTAAAAATCACCTTAGTGTACAGTTATCGTTGTTTAAGTTTGTTATTAATCACGCCTGAAATATTGGCTGTTGTAGTTTGTAGTATTATGCAGAACGAATGATTCGCTATTGGACCGGGCTTAGAATATGTATGTACTGATCATTTGTGGGTACTTTGTCAAATTCTAAATTTCACGCGTTTTACATACCGATAATCAGTATAAAATGTTGGTACCTGAAGTGTATTCGATGCACTATACAAATCCGTTGATCGTAAGGTTCTATGGCAATGTTTGTCACTGAAAGGAGTACCAAAGAAGTACATTAACCTCATAAAGGCTCTCTACTCGAACACAACTGGTCGAGTTAGAGCCTATGGCGAACTGTCATCAGAACTGATTACTACAAGTGGCGTTCGTCAGGGCTGTCCACTCTCCCCATTCTTGTTTAACTTTGTCATTGACATACTTTTAGAGATAGCACTTTCATCAGCTAAACCTCCAGGAGTTGAACTTTTACCAGGAGGCTCACTTGTTGACTTAGAATACGCCGACGACATAGTTTTACTCGGTGAAGACGCTGACAACATGCAGAGTCTTCTGACCACTATAAGCAACAATGCAGGCATGTTCGGGATGCGATTCTCTCCCTCGAAGTGCAAAATGTTACTTCAGGATTGGGTTGCACCGACACCTGAACTAATGATAGGGAGTGAAGTAGTTGAGCGTGTAGACCACTTCACTTATCTTGGGAGTCTCATCAGCCCTTGTGGTCTGGTATGTGACGAAATCTCAGCACGGATACAGAAGGCTCGTCTAGCTTTCGCCAACTTGCGTCATTTATGGCGTAGGCGAGATATCCGTTTAGCAACCAAAGGACGGGTTTACTGTGCAGCAGTTCGCTCCGTCCTACTTTATGGCAGTGAAACATGGCCAATAAGAGTAGAGGATATTCGTAGGCTACTAGTGTTCGATCATAGGTGTCCTCGAAGCATTGCTCTTATATCCTGGGACCACCGGGTAAGTAATGCAGTTGTTAGGAAACGAGTACTAGGTAGGGATGGCAAATCGATTGATGAAGTAATGAAACTTCATCAGTTGAGATGGCTGGGACATGTGTTACGTATGCCCGACCACCGACTGCCCCGACGTGCAATGTTTCATGGTGTAGGAGTAGGTTGGAAGAAAGGTAGTTGTGGCCAGACCAAAACGTGGCACAAATCAATGAAGTCACTGACAAGTGGACTGGGCCATGTTGGTAGGTGTAGACTGCCTGGTTGGGATTCGCGAGATGACAGCAACCGATGGTTAGGGACCTTGAATGACATGGCTCAAAATCGTTTGCAATGGCGAAGGTGCATACAATCTTTGTGTTCTACAAATTCTAACTCTCTAAATTCTTATCCTTTTTCTCTTTTCAAATTTATCTCACTGTATTATACTCCTAGAATAATATCTTCAAACCCTAATCTTTTGGATTTCTGATTATACTCCTACTATTTCTACCACTATGGGATTTGAATCGACAACTGCATCTGTGTGCTAATGTGGTATGGCATCTCGAACTGATGTACGTACGTACGAAGTTCTACGTTGTAGCTGACTGACTGACTGACTATACAAATCCGCGTTCTTGAATTATTTGACAAACGGTTTTCTGTAAAAGAAAAAAAAATTTACTCTCGTATTTGATCTAACAAAATCATTTGTTTAGTTTTAAAAATATAGTTTTGAAACTTCTTTGAAATAAAATACAGTGTTGTTAACCTCTCATTTGCTGATTCATTGAAATGGAAGCGTATATCACTTCATATCAAGGTGTGTTGCTGTAGTTTACAGAAAATTTTGACTTGTGATATATATGCTAACTATTAGTAGTATGGTGCAATAAAATAAAATCTTTAGAGATTAAGGAAAACTACGACCTAGAATTTATGTTAAAGCCTGAAAACTAAAATATATCTTTTGTATTCTATTCTATTCACGTGTTCTTAATTCCTTTAAATTTTTCGATTGCCTAAGACAATATATCGTTCTTTTTTTAAGTTGTCAATAATACATTACACAAATTGTTAACCATGCAATATTTATAAGGCAATTGTCTTATTATTGGTTTTATGAAATCAATTTGTATTTATTTCATAAACATATGTGATGCTTTGGTTGACATAATGACTTCCAAAAGAACATATACAGTCAGCATCGACTATTCAATCGATTTGTTCGTTCTGTTCGTTATTTATGAAAAGCTTTGTTTATTTGATTATCTAAATCCATTTAATGTTGATCATTGTATTACATTCTACAATTTTATCTTAATCGGTATTTAAAAATTCGTATCAATTTAGTATAGCATAAGTGATTGTTTTAGAATTAACTTGAATGTTATGTAATACTTAATTAATAAGAGTCTGATATATTTTTGATTAAGAAATAATTTTCATAGTTGAAAGCGTGAGTCAATTGAAGCTAAACCACCATGGAAAACCTGGAAGCCCTAGACGGCTGTTTCGTTCTATTATGGTAGGTCCTGGGTTCGAATCTCGCGAGTGCGGGATCGTGGATTCGCACTGCTGAGGAGTCCCATAATAGGATTAAACGGCCGTCCAGTGCTTCCGGGTTTTCCATGGTTGTCTAGCTTCAATTGACTCATAATTTCAACTAATAAAAATACTGAAATCCCCACAAAACCCCTTCTGATAATAAGAAATGATTCTAAGTGGTTGTAAATATTTAAAATGCAGTATTTATATATCATTTGCGGAATTCTGTCAATAAACTACGGTCTAGAGGTTAAATGTTTGTGCGAGACTGAAGGTTCTTCGTTCGACTCCCGCGTACAAAATCATGGATGTGCACTCTTGAGTAATCCCATACTAGGTCTTTCAGGTTTTCAATAGTGGTCTAACATTGATCGGTTCATGATCTTAAATAAATTGTCAACTTTGGGTTGTAAAAGTGTTCACTGTTTACAAGTTGCAAACTCTAATGAAACAACTATCCAGTGCTTTTTGTTTGTTTCTATATTATCTATCATGTAAACTATCTTAATATATCATACATTTAACGTTGTTCCGTTTTCAGTAGAGTGTAGTAAATGATAGTTATGTGCTACAACACCCTTTTTGTTATTATTGTATGAAAGTAAAGTTTTAGTACTCCTACTAATACATGCACAATTTTACTATCCATGCACTTCCCACTAGTCGAATATCAAGTATTTTATAAACATGAAAATTTTGTACTTAAAGTTCACAGTTCCTCTTCTTTTGTCTCATAATATTTCAAATAATAATTTGTTATCGTATTTTATACCTAGATTGATCTGACGAAGCCTACAGACCCATTATGGTGTTGTAATTTCCTTTCATCTGTTAACTTGAATTCATTGAACAAAATTATTGCACCATCATATTCATCGGTTATTTCTTCTAATGGTGAAATTATTCGCTTGGACCCTTCTACAAATAATGATATTTCTAAGTCGTCAATGTCTTCTCTTGTTCCATGCGACTTTTTCCGCTGGAACTCAATCGAAAAACAGGTAAAGTGACTACGACAGTTTTCTTTGTTGTTTATTTTCGTTGTGATTTGTATTGAAAAAATTCCTATCTGTAAAATATCCATTCGAATATCATTTTTTGATCCTCAATTAGATTCATCTGAATAACTCATTCGCTATTAAATAGGCTGAGAAAATAATTTGAATAATTTGAATTATGTCACTGTTTGAAATATGATCGGCCTTAGTTGGCATATGTTTACTCTATGTGGATTGCCTCAATATAACCATTACTACACAGGTTAGTAAAGAATAGGCGGTATGCGGACAGCAGTGAAATCCAAGACGGGTGTCCTGTCCCATTTAGGACTCGTCAGCTGGATACACCTGCATCCTAGAGTTGATGTTGATTCCAGGACTCAAACTAGTTTAATTATAGCCTAATAAATTATGATCACACTGACTAAGATGAAACTGACTTTCCATTAAATAATACTTCGGTTTTTGTTGTTATATCGTATTTACCATAGTACTGTAGCGGACGAGAACACAAGTGAGGAAAATCGAATGAATTTAAATACATAATCACGGAACCTCTTAGTAAAATCTGAGAATCATATAATACATACTTCATTTACAAAACAGTAATCAATCGTCTCAGACTTCATTGTTCCTTCGTTTCCACATCATCTTTTTCTGTTCTCGTTCTCCTTTCTTCGATCTTCTTAACCTTCTGCCTCCAGGCATTTCACTTTCGATTGATGATACATACTACTTATATCTGTCGACATCAGTGGCACACACGACGGTCCTTTTTTGTAATATTTCTACGTATAAAGTATTAACAACTGATTGAAAGAGCCAATGAAAAGCTTTGAACTTTTAATTATTATACCAATGTAACTTATGTACAACTAATTGCAGATCAAAATTAATCATGTGATAGTCTGGTATATTTCGTCTGTAGATTTCTTTATTTATTTAAGTATATAAACATTGGTACAAGAAGGCACCAAATATATATGCGCCACACAAATTATTCGATTTGTGTAAGGGCTGAGATACTGTCCGGTCGCCTTAATCGGAGCAAGTGGTCTTTCTAGTAGGCCAAACTCCCGAGCATTTGACCTAAAGTTCTAATCCACAAGTCAGCGGAGCAATGTAAGGAGATGCTGTTCAGTGGTAGTTGGTGACCAACAAGAGGTTTATACACCATTTGTTTCTTTAGGACCTTGGAGCTCATGTGCACCATTAGTTTGGAATGAAAGTTTCCCAACTCCATTATATGGGTCCTCCGTACATACCAACTCGGTTAAAGCACCGGACATTCACTTTTCTTCTTTTCAATTCTGTAAACACCCCTTTTCACGAGAAGGCAGTGAATAGGACTTCTCTGACAGTGACTGTATACGCGTGGCCACGAGAGAGAGAGAGTTGACTCTCCTTACCCTTAGCCGTACCAGGGCGTTTGTGTGTTAGAAGTTATGTTAATGTAACTACAATAGAATTCAAGTAACACTTGTGTATAATCTCATTTTGTCTGAACAACACTGGCATTTTATTCTCATAACCCTATATTAGTTGTATATATCGAACTAGTGAGTTTTATTTAGTTTCAGTCCCTCTTGATCTTAATCTTACTGACTGAATTTCATTACAATTATAAAATATCATATTTATCTGTTTAAAAATTTGACTGTTTTAGGTAATTGTGTATTAAAGAGCTAAGTTTCATAGCCTGGATAGTAAAACTATAAACTACTTATTTTATTATTTTATTTAAACACATAAATTTTGGTGCAAAGGGGCACCAAATATATATGCGCCGCACAAATCTGATTTGATTTGCGTGAGGGCTGTGATACTGCTCAGGTGCCCAAACTGAAGCAGGTGGTTTTCTTAGGGGGCCACACCCGGAGCCTTTGACCTAAAGATCTGATTCAAAAGGCAGTGGAGCATTGTGAGGAGATGCAGTTCCATGGTAGCTGGTGACCAACGATTGATTCATACGCCATTTGTTCCCTCAGGATACTGGAGCCCATGTGCACCATTGGTTTGGAATCGGCGTTTTCCAACTCCCCTAGGTGGACTCGTCGTGTCCACCAACCCGGTTAAAGCGTCGGACATTCGTTTTTCGTCCTCTCAATTTCGTGAACAACACCCCTACCACGAGAAGGCAGTGAGTAGGAATTCACTGGCAGAGGCTATATACGCGTGGTCATGTGAGAGCATTTGGAGAGGGAGAGCGTACTCTTCGTACTCTCAGCCGTACCAGGGCATTTGGGGGCTATTAGCTATATAAAATTATAACTTTAAACTACATTCATTACTTTTAATATAAAAATATATTTGATCATATTGTATTGATTTTCTCCTCTCTGCTTGCATACCACTGCATCTTTTATAGGTCATATATCATTCAATTCCAATAGTTCGAACCCGTACTATCCGATTTATTCTTGATCCATCAATACAAATTAATGAGTACAACACTTTTAATCATTCAAAAATTCATATTGTACATGGTACTGATATACCATTAGTTTCAACTAGATCATTTTACCATCATTAGTCAGTTATTATTATTATTATTGGTTATTTCGTGTTATTTTATAACTGAATTCTTCTGAGTACGATTCTTTTTGTGCTTTTTTTCTTCTTCTCTTTCTTTCATTCACTCTTTGTTGATACAGTTTAATATTATTTCAAGTTTGCTAATTTTTCTTTCGACCCCACCTGATTAGTTTTTTTTTCTTAATTGCATTTTCATTGTAACTAAGCCCATATATATATATATATATATATATATATATATATATATATATATATACATATACAAAACTATTGTAGCCTTATTTTCTATCTTCTCAAAATTAATTTCGTTAGTCTCTATCCCCATCTTTTTTGTTGTTGTTATCGTTGATGTTGTTCTGTTTAGTCAACGATTGTATGGACAAGGAAGAAAATGAATCGAGAATACTACTACTACTACTACTACTACTACTACTACTTCTTATCATTGCTCGAACAGACTATTTCTTTGTTTCTGTTTTGTCTTCATCTTTTTTATTTTTCTTCTTTGCCTTATATAATATTTGTCCTTGGCTTTATAAGGATTATTTTGTATTTGTATTTAGTAAATTTATGGGAACTTCACACATGTTTTTTTTTAATCATAAAATTGTAGTTTATTCTTTAATTTTGATTGTTTAACCTTTAAAGATAAAATAAAACATCAATATGAACTTTGAGTATCTATTATTTAAGTTGATGTTACAGCTTATCCAGGGTTGTACATCACCACTTGTTTAGTAGTCAATATTTATAAGAAAAAAGTCTAATCTTTGGATTATATGGATTGTGATCAACAGTGAATTATATGTTATACGCTTCTCAGTCAGTCAGCTATAACATAGGATCAGGCACATATATGCATCGGTCCAAGTTGCCAAACCTCAGCGCAACAAGATGAACACTGGATCCATAGAAGTAGTTAATTTAGTGGTGGTATAGGAAGGAAGACAGATATGAAACTTCTTCCTCTTTGAAACTCGTTCATTGAATTTATCTTCATCCAAGTTTTCGTATTTGCACTTCAATAGTTTTCTCCGCAGCATTTCAGTGGTCTTGAGTGCTGTTAGAGGTATGAGGGCAGTTATCACTTCCCGGTTGCCCACACCGTGGAAGGGTTCTTCTAGAGGTACCTGGAAAGGAAATTGGGTTAGAAGTGGTCTTAATGACCTGAGAGCGTGACCGCAATGCCCAAGGGACAACTGCTTGAGGTCGGTCACACACGACCTTTTTGTGGGTAGTTTTTATGTTAGCTCCGTTCTTCAAAGGACCTTACCGCCGGAGACAGATATCCGTGGGATAAGGCGAGGTGTGCATTTTTAGGGTCGACCTTTTCTAACCCCACCCCTCCTTGTGGGAAGGCAGCATCGCTGTCATGCTGGTTGTCTGAAGGAAACACCTTACTGCTGTCACACCTCTGTACAGTCAGCAGTACGACTTCGGACCTTGGGTTCATATATTCAACATTTGTAGCTATATGAAAATTAAAAAGTTCGTTGGAAATGATATTTTAATCTAATTAATTTACAACTTTATCCATTTCATCAATATTTATTAGTAAAGCGATGGTTTAGTGTGTACACAAATCAACTCATGAACAATAGGCCATTGGTTCGAATCCTACTATGACTCTTTGATTCAAGCTGCCAGAAGTTATCATTATCTCTTAAATAAAAAGACACCGGATCTAAGCTGACTATATAAATCTGTACATGTTAAATGTTTGACTTCTTTCATGTATGAATATATGTTTCAAATATTATTGTCATTATTACTGTATGCATTATTTATATGCGTACCAGCATACAATTTATACTAAATCCTCTTATAATATAAAACTTTTAAGTAACATAACAGTATACTTTTGTATATAGGTTGTTGTGTGATTGATAAGTCACCGAATAGTGACAAATGTTATGTTTATTATAATATGGCCACTACTAGTCTTATTGATTCGACTTTCCTTGCATTATATTTAGGTTTCAAGTGGTTGAAGGTAATCGACAAGACACCCTGTTTAATCTATGTTTCGTGCTATTTGGAGCTTAGGATTTTGAGTGTACTGATGCTCCTTAGTAGATTCGAAGTCTGTAATAAGCCTCATTATGGTAGTAAAAGTAAAAATTAAACGAACAAATAGTTTTAATTTAGCATCGTCACCACAAATCTGCAAAAATATATAAAATCAATGCTAATTAAATAACTGTGAGTAATATAATGTATATGAATTTAGTGTTATCTTCAAAAGTAATTTTAAGTAATGAGTATAGTATGAAAATTAATCAACCGTCTAGTTATAAAAACTGATAACGTAAAGATAAGAATAAGAGTCTCAAAATGTAGGCTCCATTTTGACAGGAACATTTGATGAGATAAATATTCAGGGTAAAGAAAGGTTGTGTAAATAATTTTCGAACATATAAAGTGGATTTATTCATTTGTATTTTTATTTGTTCTGACATATGGAGAAGATAAAATATCGAGGCTGATGCTAGCTGTTTAGTATTAGTTATTGCCTCTATGTAACTATTTGAGAATATGTTTCTCATGTGCCTCATGACTAATTTGTTAGGTTTTGATAAATTTTGCTGATTGAACGCTATACCTGGATCCTAAGCTAGTCTCGTAACCCACAAGCTAGAACTACTCAGCAACTTGAACACGAGAGAAAAGGCGAAAAATATACGAGAAGCACTTTACTCCAAAGGTTCATTTATGTACAGAAAATGTAATGTATTTATAGTATTTTAGAATTACTTAGGTTTTCCTGAAAATTCTGGAATGCTACTAAACACAGTAGTGATGTAGTAATCAGAAACTCTACATGTGACTTTTCATTTTCGTGATGTTTATAGCAAAACGTCTAGTCAAACGCTGATTGGATAAAATGCTTCTTAATGTTTCCTGAGCTTGTCTTGTCTAGTGCAAGAGATTTTCAGGGTCGCCCCAACAGGTTCGTTTTAGTCTTTAATGTGAATATGTTGTAGACCATTTTTGAACCACGTGTGTTCTATATCTGTTTGATAGCAAATGCGATCACCGTAAGAAAACTTGGTGTAAATCTTGGAAAGTAGCTTCATCTCATTAACTCTCCCTTGTTATTGTGCTGAACATATGACTCACATTGTGAATAAAACTACATGTTATGAGCTACTATTTGTAACTCGTTTGCCAAGTACAGGTTCTATAAAATCGGTTTTGAACTACACTGTTCGTGTGTTGGTGAGTGATACTACATGGTGGCACGGAAGTTTATATTATTCAAATCCGATCTTTTAATCACTAGGCTGCCACTTCACAGACTATTGGCATGTCCTATTAACTCATATGACATGAATTTCTTAAATATATCTAATGGATATTTGATAGTTATTTTGATACGCTCCAATATGTTCAAGTACATAAAGTCTTGGATATTTACAAAGAAAAATTAATGATTACTTAAAGAGACAGCATTTTATCGTTTTTGGCTGCTTGACCTTATTCTTGTAATGAACAAATCTATTTTAATGTCAAACCGAAAGATTAATTTTTGATTAAAGAAAGAGATAAATTTATGAATGTCCCTTTAATTTGATCATTGTTATGAGGATTGATCGCGTGATTAGTTCGATCAATATTTGTTGTACTATAAGCTACTTTAACAAAATGTACCCTGATTGAATCGGCCAATTTAAATGTTTTACAAAAGGCACGAAACGTTTTTTGTCACTATATAACGAAAATAATATTTGCATACACCATCCTCTTTCTTAAAAATGAATTTATTCATAAGGATAAACCAATCTTCAATTATCAGAATAAACAGCTTATGTGTTTACTCATCATGAATAATTCTTTTTTAATTTCACAATACTACATATTCTTTCATACTGTTGCTAGGTGATTGGTTCACACTAGTAACCAGGTTACCCTACAATGATGTCATAGTGGTAACTGTTAGGATAGTAATCAGTATTTATAGAGACCTTCTCACTAAGTTCCACTGTTTAGAATACTCTTTGAGAAATTATTATTTTAAATACTATCTTATTTTTGAATATAGTACTAGAGAGCAGTTTTGAAATTTATTCTACAATACTAGAAACTCAGTCAGAAATCAAGATGTCAATAAAAGTAAGTAAAGATTTACAACTTCAAACTTTGTTTCTTTACATTTGGGGAAAACGTGTAGAACATAATGAAAACTACATAATTCATATAAGGAGGTTTGTGGCGATTGAAGAATTCTCATTGTTTAAGTCATGAAGTGTTCTTAACTAGGCTATCATTGAATAGCTGTTTCGTTCTGATAAATGGTTTCTCAACAACGCACATAACCATCGTTCCTTTTACTGGTTACTTTTATCTGATCTTGTAATTTTAAACATTGTAGATAGATTTGGCTAACAAAGACGGTGTTATAAGTTACGTCTACTTCAACAGTAGTTGTTACTGGTACATTTTTAGAGAGTTATGTTAGACGTATAGTTTGTTTTCGAATAAAACTATCCAACTTTTCGAGATCTCTCGTGTGTGCGTCAGTGCTCACCTCACTTTAGATTGTTTTCTAAGATCAAAAATCTAGTTAACTAAGTAAAATAAGATTGAACACTAACTATTTTTTTAGTAAAATTCTATAGTTTGTGTATGAAAGATCTGATACACCTTGTATTCGAATGCAAAAAGCAACTTTCTAACTGCTTTCTAATCTCCGGAAATCTATCTAACCCTGAATCGATGGCAAAAATTCTAAAAGAAGCTTTAATTTAAATCTTATTTTATTTACAAAAAAAGACAAAAGTATTTGTATTATTGCATTTGACTTCAAGGATTCTAGGAGCTTCTGGAAATCAAGCAATAGATTCACTAGTTGTTCAAATAAGATAATATGAACAATCTGTTATTTTTTAAAATTCTCTTGGGAGCTTCGTAAGATTCCCGTTCGATCGAAATATTTCCTAGGTTTTATTGATTTTTGAAAAATAGCACCTTTAAAGAATTACCGATGATTGTTATCATGGTACTTTATGTATATATTAATCATCCGAAATAAATGTTGAAAAGAGAGTTTAGTATTAGAATAAAACATGGACACCTACTTGGATTTATTTTGATATGGTAATGACCGAGTATAGTAGACATCTTTTTTGAAACATCTATCGAATTGGCTATTCGACAAGAATGACTATTCAGAAAATCATAATTTAAATATAGTCGTAATTACCAAGTTTTGATTTAATAATTTGAATAAATTAAGCATTGGGTAGATTGTTATAAATAAAAATAATACACTTGTACTATCCCAATGCGTAGAAAAATTAGATGTCCTGACGTTTCGTGACTCAGTGTAAGTCACTTCTTTCACAACGTTGTACTATTTAAACTTGGATGAATATTAATTTGGTTATATATTCTCTGAATAAGTGGCTTAAGCTGAGTCATGAAACGTCGGAAAATCTCATTTTCCTACTCATTGAGATATTAAAAATATATTTATTTATATAAGGGATTGTTATATTGAAAGCATAATGATTTGATGTCATGCCAAAAAAACAACTTTACATTAATTATATAAACCACTCAACGATGAACTATCAAACCTTTTGTTCTTTTGGTAATTACTATTATTAACTTTCTTTCCAAAATACTAGTTAGCTTCTTCAAAAAAGTTATCTTAATAGATACAAGCTAACTGGTATGGATTTTCTATTGTATTAGACATTCTGTCAACTATACTTTTTATTTTGATGTCAATAAAGTTCTTCTGATTCTATCAGTCAATCTACTTATTCTCTTGGATAAAATTATTTATTCAATGACTTAATCTACTTCTAGAATATACTTCTTCCTACGCTTCTCATTGTCATATATATATATATAAAATTCTGCTCTATTGAAATTATTATTAAGGGGAAGAGAATTATCAGAAGACTGTTTTTCCTGTAAACCGCATAAATTAAGTGAAGAACAGGATTTGGATTTACTTAAAGGTAATATTGTTGTGTTTACTGTACGAGAAAAAATCGGTCAATAGTAGTTATATGATGGGTGTTGAGTTGTTAAAAGGTTTTTGCAGTGAAGATATTGTTTCTCAAGTACCACAAGTTTACTTACAAATAATGTTGATCACTGTTGGACAGTTCAACAACATTTTTATTTGATACAGATTTTTCTGAGATTTTAATTAACTTGTCTATTGTGTTTGATTAAAAAGATTCATAGCTTAGGTAGAGATATTTAATGGTACCGTATTCTTTAAGTTGGATCGTTTAATTGTGAAGCTGTGATTGGCGTTCTGAAGAACATTTATATTCAATTCAGCATTCCCAATTAATACAGTGCGATTAAACTCTTTAAATCACAGGACGCAACCTCACTAATAACTTGTTTCTATTTCGTTATTAGCTGATAAATGTTAATAGTTTCATTATAAAGTGTAGGAATTTGCCAGTTTTTAAAAATTCTGCTGATAGTATCATTATGCTATATTTTTTACTTTTCCTATACAAAATAGAATGTTAAAAGTAACTAATATAGTTGAAATCATGAGTCATTTGAAGCTAAACCACCACGGAAAACCTAGGAACACTGGGCGGCCGTTTCGTCGTGTTGTGGGACTCTTCAGTAGTGCGCATCCCCGTGGATTGATTGAAGTCAGACATTAACACAGCTGGATGCCGACTCAGTGGTCTATCGGTTAAGTGCTCTGGCTCGAGACTGATAGGTCCTGGGTTCGAATCTCGCTCACAAGGCGGGATCGTGGATGCGCACTTCTGAGGAGTCCCACTATAGGACGAATCGGCCGTCCAGTGCTTCCAGGTTTTCCATGGTGGTCTAGCTTCAATTGACTCATGATTTCAACTATGAAAAATACTGAAATCTCCACAAAACCCCTTCTAACTAATATAGCCTTAATAATAAGGTTGCTTCCTTCCATAGTTTTTGTCAATCACTGACAATAATGACAATGTAGATAAATAAGCAGTTTAGTTAATATTCATTTATTATTTCTAAAATTGTTCCACTTACATCATACATACCTTTAAATAAATCATTGTACAAATCTGTATCATCAGATCAGTTTTCCACACTATATCAGTACAGAGATATACAGTTTAAAAGATGAATAACAAATGAATTGATGGTTCTAACAATGATCACAAAACTAGATATACAAATGTTTAATTCATAAAGCAATATGAGAAATGAATTAAAGTACATGACTCAACAGAGAAAATATAAAGAACGAATATATATTTTTTCATCAAGTCAACCTAAATTAAACAATATCACGTAAAGTCTTTAATCACTCATGATCATTATCATATGGAACTGAACTAAACAAGATAGGATAGATATTAAATAACACAACTTAAACCAACAAGTGCATGAATAAGATTACTATGATTGACTGGAGAATTTTGCAAACTAACAATGATAATGATAAAAGCTTATTTTAAATGTTTGTTTATATTGTCATTACTACTTAGATCAAATAGTTAAATAATTCATAAAACTGGTTTTTGTTTCCGATAGTTTGTTTATTGGTCAGATAATCTATTAAAATTCAATGTCATTTATTGAATAATAAAAGAAATTGATGTATTGTACTCATTCTATGTATCCATTACTCAAATAATAAATTAATATCTGTCATTATTATTATTAAATATGAAAATAGTATAACAGTGGAAAGAATAAATGAACCAATTGAATTGTAAAAAAAAAAGAGAATATGTGTATGATCAGTTGTTGTTTTTGTTTTGTTTTGTTTGAAAGGTAATAATAATGGCAGATAGATAACAAATTGTCTTTTTTGTTTTCTTTCTTACACTACATGAATGAATATGGATCTATAAGCATTTCTATATGAGTATATATATATATATATGTATATATATGTATGTATATATGAATGAGTAGTAAGAATAAATATGATGTAATAGCGGATTCATATTTTTTTCAACAGAAATAAAAAAAATAATCACATAACAACAATGGAATCCATAAAAATCGAAAAAAAATTATTTTTTCGTTTTTGTTTACAAAAAAATATATATCTAATTATGACATCAAATAATTTTCTGAAAAATGAAAACTTATCACTACTTAATTGTCAGTAGATAGTAATAAACAAAACAAAACAATAAAAATAAATAAAATCAATTATTCTATTGAATATTTGAAAAACCGAAAAAAAATTTTCAAATCAATGATAATCAATAAAATTTTACTGATAAATAAAACATTTTATAGGTTTGCATTTGTTTTTCACTTTTTTTTTTAAATTATTGATGTAATGAAATAAGAAATATAAAAATGGAATATTATCATTTATTAAAATATTGTTTTTGTTGGGGTGGTGGTGGTAGTGGTTTCGTAAAAAAAATCATTGATATCACAATTAGAGAAAAGAAATACAGAAATTGAACCATTTAAGAATAAAGAAGAGAATAATCATACACAAGAGTTTGTAACAAGAAAGATAATAGTTATATATTGTTAATAAGAAAGTTGAAATTAGTTTTAACGAATTTACAAATTATTACTAATAATAGTATCTGTAATTAATTAAGTAGACAGACCATAAAGAACAAATAAATAAATAAATAAATAAATAGAATAATTAATGTGTAAACAAACAAAAAAAGGACCAAAACACAACAAAATATTGAATGGAATGTGTATTACACCTTTGTGGATTTGACTTTTTCTTGTATAGTTACTATTGTATGATTATAAATAAATTAATATATTTGTTATATCCCAATGAGTAGAAAAATTAGATTTTTTGACGTTTCGTAACTCAGTGTAATCCACTTCTTCAGAGAATAAATAACCAAATTAATAATAATCCAAGTTTAAATTGTACAACGGAACAATCCAAGAATTTATTTATTCTCTGAAGAAGTGGCTTACACTGAGTCATGAAACGTCAGAAAATCTAATTTTTCTACTCATTGGGATATTACAAATATATTAATTGATTTATAACAATCTACCCAATGCTCAATTTATTCAAAACTATCAAATCAAGTCTTGGTAATGTTACATATTGTATGATTAGTTTATAGGATATAATAAATTCAACAACAGCAAAAAATTAAATTACTCATTAAATAAATGACCATATTTCAAGTGTGGTAATAATAAAATCTGGTGATGATAAAGTTAATTGTGGACTATTAAATGTTTCACAATTATCACTATGTCCATGTAATAAAATATCATCAAGTTGAATTGCTGAATGACCTCTGAAATGACAAAAAAAAGAAATTGAACTGTTAAAAGGATAAAAAATGAGTTGAAAAAAACTGTAGGAAAAAATAATGGGTACCAGCTTAGTGGTCTAGAAGTTAAGAGTTTATGCGCAAGACTGAGGGTCCTGGGTTGGAGCCCTGTGTGAGGGATTTTTGGTGCGTGCTGATAAGGAGCTTCATATTTGGGCTAAATGGCTGTCCAGTGCTTCCAGATTTTTAATGGTGATTTAGCTTAGATAGATTCATGAATTTAATGAATAAAAAGATATTAGTTGGTTCGCGATCCTGGATTCGAATGGTAAAAATATACTCTTTAAGATATATTATTAATTACTGCCTGGTAATTTAAGGAAACCTTTATGTTTAGTAAGAATTCATCTTAATTTTTCATGAACATATTTATGGATAGTCGGGGATTCTAGAATAAAAATTACAAACACAATATCTTTTCTTCAGTCTTTCATGTATATTTTAGTAACGAATTTTTTCTAGTGCAACACCAGTCTATAATAATTTGAGAACTGTTAAGAATTGCGATATGGTAAATAGATATTTCATTCTTTTTTGAAACTCTTCAGCACTGTCCATTTACAGTCACATGATCTACTGGTTTCTTAAATAAAATAACAGTCAGTCAAGATCATATATCTTAGCACATATGTGTATTCCTTCAAGTTTTCACATCATGAGAATTAAGTGTTAAGACCATGGAAAAATTACAGCTTGCACATATCTCTTTTGCACACGGAGTTCAGGTTTGAATGATAAATTGCTAGTGCATGTGAGATTCATATGTTACTAGTTTGCGCTTCTTCGGACACAATCTTCTGACTGTATAGATTATTTAAAAGGACTTGTCAAATGTGGTCATGTGACCGGAGTTTATAAGATGTTTTAATATTGAACTGTTGATTAATTTACAGTCGAAAGCCATGCGAGATAATGTTCGGAGATGCATTTAGAAAGAGCTCGCTTTTTGCGGCTCATGTAACCTGCTTCATAATAGCAAGTGTACTTACAAATAGGATTAATAACTGCTGCTGTTAATAATGTTAACTAGTTGCTAATACGGAAGAAAGGCAAGACGATATTTAGAACTATGATCAAGCAAATAAGACCTGAATGCTTTTGTTTACAAAGCCACTGCTAAGTTATATCACTTGATTTCAACATTAATTAATCAATTGAACTATTGTACTATTCTCAACATTAAAATCAGTGACTATATTGAAAATATTCAGAAAATTTATAGAAAGATACATATTCATTATAGACAGTTATTTACTAGAATAAAAATAATTGGCATTAGATTCATCTGAAAAATTCCTCAGAACAAAAAATGAATGTTTATTATAAAAAGTCAGACCATAAAATTTTTATTAACATATACCATTAACAACATAATTCTCTTTTCTGTATATAACACAAAAGATATTTTGGTGAGATTATAACTTATAGACAAACCAATCAGATTTAGGATAACAAGTCTTGGATTTTGGCACAAAAATCATTTATCCATTTGTTTAAATAGCGTTTTGTCATTTTAGCTGATGTCAGTTCATGATGAAAATTATAAATCTAATTTTTAACTTTAACTATCAACTGTAATTCATTATCCTTATTTTTTAAAGCTGCTTTATAACTGTCATTTAGCTCTAGTATGTATGTGGGCACTTTCAAGATCAATTTAACGTCGCTCAAATGTCGTCCATAAATTATAATCTCACTGATATTTTATTTAAAGCGAACAGATAAAATAATATAATGATATAATACTTTCTAGTCTGACTAAATAAATAAATCCCATATAATTACTTGGAGAAAGTAATAAAGTTCATGCAGATTTTCATAAGGAAAGAGAATCGGGGTTTAAATATAGTGAATATGCTAGTGATCAGTCATAATTTTAATAGTGTATACTTTACATATTAAAATGCAATAATTTGAAAAATAGAATTCTTAATTTTATATAGTTGAAATCATTAGTCAATTGAAGGCTAGACCACCATGGAAAACCTAGAAGTACTGGATGGCCGCTTCGTCCTATTGTGGAACTTCTCAGCAGTGCGCGTCCACGGTCTCGCGCAAACATTTAAGCTCTAGACCACTGAGCCGGTATCCAACAATTTTAATGTCTAACTACAACTAATCCACGAAATTGAGCAACCATTCACCAATGTCATCAGTGAGTTGATATCTCCAAACAGATCTAGTTCAACTCCACTGGTTACTGCTTCTCATAACCGTCTACTACTTCCAGGTTTTCTATGGTGGTCTAATTTCAATTCACTCATGATTTCTACTATATTAAATTACTAAAATCTTTACAAAACCCCTAACTGACACTTTTTAATTTTCTTTAATCTTACCATTTAATTAAAAGATATAGAATCATATTTTTTCTTCGAAAATAAAAGTATACAAGATCTTGACTTATTTTGGAAATCAAAGACTATTTGATTCCGTTCATTCTACTAATTCTTTTCAAATAAGTTTACTTAAAATAATCTAGTTTTTGGTTATTTATATAATGTGGACATATTTGGAAAAAAAATATCTCTCTGCAATAACTAGCTTAATATTATCTGATACATTTACAAGTTTTCTTTTAAAATATCTACTAAGACAGATTATCATAAGTAAGAATGATATAAGGAATGAAGTACTATAAGTTAACCAATACAAGATAACCTTTTGAAATATTGTTGTATAAAAACTAGTTATTCAATTTGACCAATCAAATTGCTTGCTTATCCCAATTTTGTTTTCGTTCTCATGGTTACCTACCGATTTCTCAAACTAGTATGTATTGTATTAAATATTACTTTATTGATTCTATCTATATGATTATTAATATTCATATTATTATTAGTAGTATTATTGGTTTTCTTAAAAAAAAAATACAGGCCATTAGAAAAAAAAACATTTCCACACAAAAAAAAAAGAAATTTGTTATTAGTATAGCAAATGAAGTCAGTAAATACTTTTGGTCAACTGATAAAGCAAAAGAAAAACAATAATAATTATTAACTTAACTAAACCACACATAAAGAGCACGTGTTTGTTACTGGTTGTGTTTGTATTTATATGTGTGTGTGTGTGTCTGTTTGTATTAAAATCTTTAAGTTTTATATAAATACAAAAGATCGGGATAGAAAATATAGTGGAAATATGGCTATATATATATATAGAGAGAGAAAGTAACTTACTGAGAGCATCCTATGGTAAGCGAATCATAATCACCATTGATAAAATAGGAATTTTCACCGCTCCATGTAAATTTCTAAAGTAACGTTTATAATAATAATAATATAATGAAGTAATAGGAATGAAATATGGAAAAAAATTAACATGGATTTTATTAGTTGAGATCATGAATCAATTGAATTTAGACCACCATGAAAAACCTGGAAGCACTGCACGGCCGTTTCGTCCTATTATGGGACTCCTCAGCAGTGCGCATCTATGATCCCTCCTCAAGAGATACCAATCCAGGACTTATCAGTTTCGCGCGCCAGCGTTTAACCTCTAGACTACTGAGCTGGCATCCAACGGTGTTAATGTCTAACTTCGACCGATTCACAAAATTCAGCGACACATCCACCAATGTCTTCAGTAAGTTACTAACTCACAACAGACGTGGTTGAACTCCAGGAAATACATTTTGAAGCCAGTCACTAGTGGACATATGTTGAATAATATCAGAAGGGGTTTTGTGGGTTTTCCATGGTAGTCTAGCTTAAATTGATTCATGATCTCAACTATTAAAATTCTTATGATATCCACAAAACCCCTTATGATATTGATATGGATTTACAAAAGACCCAAAATACTAGTAATAATAATATCTCAACAAATGAGATTATTTTGAAACTGATATAAATTAACACTGTACTAGTTCAGATAATTATTTATATGAATGTGGTGAAATATAATAATGAACCGATCATTGTTGCAGAATAATTTCCTATTTAGAAACATATTAAATTCATCATTGATTGAATTTGGTAAATGAATAACTATAAACACACAATTTTATCAATTAAATTGTTGATATTCAGTTTCTCATAGTCGACACAACAGGGTTAAATAGAGATAGTGAATTATTAGATTTTTGATTGAAATTATGAATCGATCAATGTTAGACCATAATTAAAAACCCGGAAGCACTGGAAGGCCATTTCGTCTCAGTACGCCGACTCCTCAGCAATGCGCATTCATGATCTTGCATGAGGGACTTGAACCCAGGATCTCCGGTTTCGCGCGCAAATGCTTAGCCTCCAGACCAATGAGTCGGCATCTAACGGTCATAATGTTTAATTTCAACCAAACCACGATATTGCGCGACCATCAACTTTTGTCTTAGTTGGGCGACTCCCTCACCCTCGACATTGGATTAGCTCCACTGGTTACAGCTTCTCATTAGAACTCAAAGTTTTCAATGTTGGCCTAACATTATTCGATTCATGATCTCAATCAAAAGTCAACAATCTCCATAACCCTATACTGTGGATTATTAGACATTGTTTTGTTTATAAAAAATTAATGATGAATATTTTATGGTAAATGAAATGAACTGTATATCTATTGTTATTAATACCATTATTGTCGTTATTATCAATCGATTTACTTGGAATGTCTGTTTTTTACCCTGTTCGGGAAATTCTTTTTTATCATTATAACATAAATGTGCGAATTCTTTGGTTACAGTTTCAGTTCTCACATCAGATGATATGAATGATGACGAAGATGAGACTAGATCAGAATTATGATTGTCTGTTCCTAATAATGACGAGGATGATATTGATACAGAGTTCACATCTGTTGGTATATTCAATAATTTATTAGAAGTAACTGATAAAGATATAGAATCTTGTTCATTGATTGAATTACTATTTCCTTTTAATTGATCTTGTTTTGAATCAGTTGTATTGATCCATCGAAATACAAAACATGATCCATTACCATAGAATCGACCATTACTTGGATAAGGATGTGTATTAAGCATTGCTCCAAATATCTAAGTAATTAGAAAATAAGTCATAGAAAAATTTGTCAGTATCAATACCAAGGTTGAAATTGGTAGTTTCGAATAAATTAAGCATTGGGTATATTCCAATGAGTAGAAGAATTGTATTTCTGACGTTTCGTTACTTAAAATAAACCACTTCATCAGAGTAAATAAATAATCGAATGAAATTAACACAAGTTTAAATAGTACAAATGAAAAAAATGAAGAATATTTTTGGTACAATCAAAATCAATAATAAGTCAATATCAAGTTATTCTTGGTCAAAATGAACTTGTATGAACTGTCACTGTATTAATTTGTGTATTAGAATGTGAATACGAAAAACGTATGCAATTGTAATATGAAATAGTGGGGTTAATTTAATTCGACCAAACAGAAACGTAGCACAAGTCCATGAAGTCACTGACAATTGGACTGAGCCATGTTGGTAGGTGTCGACTACCTGGTTAGGACTCGCGAGATGATAGCAACCAATGGTTAGAGAAATTGAATGGAATGACTCAAAATCGTTTTCAGTGGCAAAAGTGCATTCAATCATTTTGTTCTGTCTAATTCAAATCTTCTGAATTCTTTATCTCATTATCTTTTTTCTCTTCCCAAATTTAATTCACTGTATTATACTCCTTGAACAACATCATCAAATGCTAATCCTTCGGATTACTGCTTATACTCTTGCTACTTCTACCACTATGGGATTTGAATCGATAATTGTATCTCTGTGTTAATGCGGTATGGCAACTCGAACTGATGTACGTACATACGAAGTTCTACGTTGTGACTGACTGACTGATTTACTTTGAGGAAGTAGCTTACATTGTGTCACAAAACGTCAAAAATACAATTTTCCTACTCATTGGGATATAACAAAAAATATATGTATTGTTATATATTTTGATGAAAATCCATTCTAATATGAAATTGTTACTTATTAAAACAATATCTAAATAACATTGTAAACATTTTCAGTATTATGTAATCAGGTCAAACACTTAATAATTATGACTGACAATTCAGTAAATATAATGATAAACTATATAAACGAATAGGATTACTGCCCTTTCGTTTTTAAATGGATGAATTGGGACAAAAGATGAGACAACTGAAATCTCCATCAAGGATGAGATAAAATTGGTCTGTTTGGCTTTACTTAAATCTATTTACAGTAACTTATCAGCTATATAGTTTGATCCTTTATGAAGCAACTCTTTCAAAATATTGAACTATTATTCAGACATTTTGTATACAGTTCTGTTATAATCAAACCTTAAACCATATATTCCGAAATAATTACTTATTTCAGAAGGCGGTTTTGTGAAGATTTCAGTATTTTCATTGGTGAATGGTTGCTCAAACATCATGGATTGGTTGAAATTAGACATTAACACCGTTGGATGCCGGCTCAGTGGTTCATCGGTTAAGTGCTCTGGCGCGGGACTGGTAGGTCCTGGGTTCGAATCTCGCTTGCGAAGCGGGATCGTGGATGCGCACTACTGAGGAGTCTCATAAAAGGACGAAACGGCCGTTCAGTGTTTCCAGGTTTTCCATGGTGGTTTAGCTTCAATTAACTCATGACTTCAACTATGAAAATTATTTATTTATTTATACCCTTTGATATTTATCAATTTATTCATCCCATCTTTTAATTGTTCTCAATAAGGAAAGTTTACTTAAACAAAGAAGAAATGAAAGTATATAATGGATTTAAAATATGTATTTTTAAATTTGTAACTCATCCATTTTCAAAGTTTAATATAAATATGCGCATTATCAAACACTTTCAGTGACAATTTTACGTTTATTTAGTGAATGTGACATAAAGGAATATAATTTTCACTGAGGATTTCATTTCAAACCTTAAACTTTACTTAATCTGCTTCTTTTTCATTTAACAAGTTATGATGCTCTACGATGAGATAAACATAAAAGACATATGTAGAGAAGCAGTGACCAGTGGAGTGCAAACCACGTCTGTCGTGAGATAGGAACTCATTGATGACAATTGGTGAATGGTTGCTCAACTTCGTGGATCAGTTGAAGTTAGACATTAACACCGTTGGATGCCAGCTCAACGGTCTATTGGTTAAGTGCTCTGGCTCGAGACTGATAGGTCCTGGGTTCGAATCTCGCGAGAGCGGGTTCGTGGATGCGCACTGGTGAGGAATCCCATAATAGGACGAAACGGCCGTCCAGTGTTTTCAGGTTTTCCTCGGTGGTCTAGCTTCAATTGACTCATGCTTTCAAATATGTAGATAGCTTGAGATAATTGAAATGTAGTTCCAAGTGAAAATAATTCTTTTATATTACAGTGCTCATCAACTAAATAAACGATAAATGATGGAAAATGCTAGAGTTTACACTTTTTCAGATGATTAAAATAACTCATAGTGTCATTGAATAAGAAAAAGATAATTCAGCGAAGAAAATTTTTCTTTTCGATGAAATCATTTACTTAAGCTGTACATTCGTATTTATAGTTATATGGAAAATATATGTCTATAGGGGGATGGGAAAAATTGCATTATAAATTGATTCGACAATAAATCAGAAGGCGTTTTGTGGAGATTTTTTAGTACTTTCATAGTCAATTAAAGCTAGACTACCATGGAAAACCTGGAAGAACTGGATGGCCGTTTCGTCCTTTTGTGGGACTCCTCAGCAGTGCGCATCCACGATCCCGCCTCGCGAGCGAGATTCGAAACCAGGATCTACTAGTCTCGAGCCAGAGCCCTTAGCCGATAGACTACTGAGCCGGCATCCAACGGTTGCTCAACTTCGTGGATCAGTTGAAGTTAGACATTAACACCGTTGGATGCCGGCTCAGTGGTCTATCAACGACAACTAGAAACATACCTATTAAGGGAATTAGGGCCAAGGAAGGGTTGAACAAATCGTTTCTGCAGGCAAAGTTCAGGCTTGAATTCGTGATTTGCCAATGCATCAGCAGTACATAAAATATTGATTCGACTCCCCTTCGACAAGGTTCCTTTGACTCTGTAGATTACTTTAAAAGAAGAGTCTTTTGGAGCGATGTGTCCACAGTTAAATTAATGCTCCTGTATCGAACTAGATATCTTTTTGCATTCTCCTTTTAAGAGCCATGCCAGATAGTGTTCCGAGATGCGTTTGGAAAGTGATTGTTTTATGCAGCCTACGTAACGTGCTCCACATGCGCAAGTTAATGTATAGATACACATTGATGTTGCCCAAAGCGAAAGTTTATTCTTAACACACCCTAGAATCGTAGGCCGGCTAGAGAAAACAATTCGAAGCTTAGCTGCGTAGAATATTTTATTCAACGATTTTGAAATCTGTTTATTCAGGATTTCACCAGCCGTGTCTCCTTTAAATTTCATATTCATAAACAAAGTTTTCTTCTGTACTGTCGAAGATTTTTCCTGAACCTTACACCGTTCCTTGGCCCTAGTTCCCTTAATGGGTATGTTTCTAGATGTCGTTTTCTTTTCGTTTCTGCACTTTTATTTAATTATCATCAATTTGTTGTTTTTTAAATTAGTGTTTTGCATTTTAAACTCTAATCAGTTATAATAATTATTATTACAATATACAAGTTTTCCTGATTCATAGTCAGTCTATAATGACCTTTGCGTTTGTCGCTTTTCTTCATATCTGTCAATTGGACTATTATCTGACCCATAAATTATTTTCTTCCTTACCCCTTGATTAGTACGTAACCTCATTTATTATTTATTGTCGAATCAATTTATAATGCAATTTTTCCCATCCTCCTATAGACATATATTTTCCATATAACTATATATATACGAATGTACAGCTTAAGTAAATGATTTCGTCGAAAAGAAAAATTTTCTTCGCTGAATTCTCTTTTTCTTATTCGATTACGCTTCTATTGAACATTTTAAAAAATGCAACATTTATTTCATTCTATATGATTCAATTAATTTTTATTTTGAATTTTCAAAATAAACTAATTATTAGACAAATAATTTCATTAATGAAGAGTATCTGTCAGGATGGCTCGTTGGCAAACTCAAGAAGCCCATAAAAAGCCGAAGACATTCCACCCAATCACTACTAGAGGAACATTTTAGAATGTCGACGTGTAGCTTCCTTACTGGATGAATAAGAAAGCCTCCCCCCTATATGCCTATTGGCTGTCCAAAATGATGATTTACTTTCAGCCAAAAACTATAAATACATGAGATTTTTGTACTATATTTGACACTGTTTTGGGAATAACATTCCTACTTAATAGTATTCTCATTTCGCGACTTGGGAGGGTTCTAGAGTTTGAGTGCTCAAGTATTACGCGACATACTGAGAATCTAAGTTCGAGATATAACAGTATCTAAATTGAAGAAATGTTTATTTTCAAATTTAGTAATTTTTCTAAAAAAAAGAAAAAATTTCCTTCCTTTCAGATACATTTGAAAGTAGTTAATTTACGGTTTCAAACTGTTTTTTTTTCATGAATATTTAACCAATCACTATGTTAAGATCAATTAGAACTTTACGGATGATATTCAGAGAAAGGATTACTCTTCAAAGAGATAATTTTCAATCTAAGATTGCCTAACTCTATTCCTAAGTAAATTTGAGCAGTCAATAAACATAGTGAACTAATCAGGTAATATTAAATTGTAGTGTGTGTATAGTGAGATAGTTGAAATGTTATAAATTATAATCCATTGTTAACTGATTAGTTTTACAGACCTTTAATTATGACCATTTTGGAGGCTATAAAATAGTTTCTTCTTAATTTAAACAATATAACCTAGTAATACAATCTTTTCTTTGAGTAATTTTAGGAATTCAAGGGATTAATTTTGATATTAGTCTATGCTATTGCTGAATTTATTAAAGTGGAGTGAAATACGTGAAGATGGTCAATTGAAGAGTATAACCATTTGATCACAAAAATTGGGATAAATGAATTAGGTATCTCCATGACACTGACATACATTTGAATAATTTATGAGTTTTATGCCTTACTGCTCAAGTTCATTATTCACTTATGGTATTGGCTTTTGTATGTTATTTCAAAAGAGTTTTTCAACCAATTGTACTATTATTGCATAAAAGTTCGAGAAACAAACTATTAACCAAGAGATTTTCAGAACAAGCCATAATAATATCACAAATTGCAATGAACAGAATAGTACTCATATGTGATCGGTTTTAATGTCAGAAATGTGATTTATTTTTTAAAATTACCTTTACATTATTCTCTTGCCAAATAGAAACAAAAGTAATTTTTCAGACAGGGGGGTTTATGAAGATTTTAGTAACTTCAATCAATCCACGAAATTGAGAAACCATTCACCAATGTCTTCAGTGAGTTGATATCTCCCAACAGACTTGGTTGAACTCCACTGGTCACTGCTTCTCACTAGAACTCCAGGAAACACCTCATTGAGCCAGTCACTAATGATCATATGATCATTATCAGAAGGGGGGTTTTGTGGAGATTTTAGTAATTTTTATATAGTTGGTGGTCTAGCTTCAATTGACTCATGATCTCAACTATATAAAAAAGTAATTTTTATCATTTCAGTAAAAGTTAGATAGAGCTCATTAGTTTTTAGTTGAGACAAATCAAGAATAAAATTATCATTATTCACCTAATATATTTCTACGCAATATAAATAAAATTTCAGGGACATGAATAATGTCTTATTTTGTCGACCAAATAAATATAATCAACTATACTATAACAATCATTGTATACTTTGTTCTTTAGTGGCTCAGGATCTAATTCCATTTGAATTGTATGATAATTGTTATTGAACTAAACATGTCGTCTATTCTCGTATATAATCATTCACTTGAATCGCGTTAATGAATAACGGAATTAAATAAGTCAACTACGAGAATGGAGTTCGAGTACGTATATTTCATACAATCGTTGATCGGAAAGCCAAGCAATACAAAAGGAAACGCCATGTAGAAGGCGGTTCGATCATGTGTGAATCGATATTTATAGTCACATAAAAATAAGTTACATACATGTGATGAGTAGGATAAGAAATGCATATACATACGCTCATATAAAAACAGTCAAGGTTGATAAGCGAATCGTTAACAAGGTCAAAATGTGACTCAAGAAGAATGAATTGGCCTGTCCGTAAGAAAGAACAAGCCATATGGGCTTGACATGGAGGCCGACACTACAATATCGGACTCTTGAGTGTGGCCTCATTGAATATATATCATTTAATACATTTGAGAGGCTAGTTTACGCATATTGAATTATAACTAGAATGTTTCAAGTTCCGTCATATATATATATATATATATATATATATTCCGTGTTAGTTTTAGCGATTGATATCTTCTTAAGATGCCATGCCTTCTGTAATTAATACGTTACTACTTGTTTTTTTTTTACAAATAAGGTGATTTTTACATCACTATGGTTGGAAGGAGGTTTATGTAACATGTGCTTATCGCTTGCGTTCATGATGAACTATGACCGTAAGTAGATCAGGACAAATACAACACTCAAATGTTGTCTCTCCCAGTGATCTGTGTTTACAAATATTTTTTACTAAAAACTAGATACTTGCTCAAACTGTGCTATGTTAGTTTCATCAGTAAGGATAGATTAGAGTCTACTAGTGCATCGAATTGAATAGTAAGTACATATCAGTCAGAGTGTTAAGTAGTAATGCGTGATGATCATTTCATTTTTCGAAAGAACTATGCAACATTGGTTTGTAGATTACTAATTTAATGGTACACTGAATTCCAGGTGACTTGAAAATCATTAGTTCAACTCAGTGCAGCGTTAACACCCTCTAGTTTCCAGTGGCTTGGTATTAGATTTCAATTAGTTAGTGATATTAAAATCATTTCACTAACCATTTACCATTTTAAGCAAAAATGGATAGTGGCTAGCAGCGGAATCCAGTTTGACGCACGTTTCGTCCTATTTGGGACTCGTCAGCTGGGTGTACCTGCATCTCAGAGTTGATGTTCACTCTGGGACTCCAACCCAGTACCCTCGCTTCAAACGCCATCGTGTTATCCACTCGGTCACTGAGTCCTGATAGCCACTTGCTTGTGCAACAGGGTGAAGTTTAAATTCAACTTAGTATTGTTTGTTTGAATCTTCCCATCGATGTGTTAGGACTGCAACTGGTCAGTCTCTAATTGGCATATGTGCATACTGTGTGTATTGCCTCGATATAGCCTTAATTCACAAGCATGGTTAGCAGAGAGTCCCAAAAAAGACGAAACGCGCGTCCTGGATTCCATTGCTTGCCGCTATCCATCTCTGTTAACTATGCCTGTGAATTAAGGTATATCGAGGCAATACGCACAGTATGCACATATGCCAATTAGAAACTGACCAGTTGTAGTCCTAACACATCGATGGTAAGATTCAAACAAACAATGCTAAGTGCACTTACCATTTTGTTTTAAATAATTTTTTTTATGGCAGTGGAATATCGCACACAACGGGTACTTTATAATTTCTTACAAACATCGTTGTTTATTTGCAAACAAAACTGAACTTTGTGTATTTTATTTTCTCAATACTTTGTATTGGGAGATTTTTTTTTAAAGAGTATGAAATCAACAGTTTAAGAGATAAATATTCGTTTTCTAAATTGTGTTTACCCATTAATGTTTACAGATTGTACTCAGGTGATGAAAATCTCATAAAACTAAATGGATTTAACTCATTCTGCAAAATGTTGTTGTGATCGGATTAGTGAAGTTGACTCAAGAAACTGAATTTATGAAGTTTTTCACGTAAAAGTGATTATATTGAACGATCATGTGACAAACCATCCTACTTCGTAAATAGAATTATTGAGAAAACAAAAGAAAAAAACTATATTTGGATTTGTCCTAATAACGATCAAAACAACACTCTAAACGAATAGATTGTCGAATAAATATTCATATAGAGAAACATTTAAAAAATATTGTGAAATTCTCCAGGAAAAAACATACAGTAGAGGATTCATCATCAGATGAATAGAAGTGAAAAAAACTAACCTCATTTGTTGATGTTCGTATGATTAGTATACATGGTTGATTTGCTGCATGCGGTGAATTCGATGTAAGAGTATGTTTCATTTTTGTATGAATAGTACCATATGAATTATCTTTCGAAGATTCTGTCAAACTATTGGCACATCGACGATATAATGATCGTAAACTAAATCCATGCACAGAAGTACTGTAAGTTAATATCCAGTCTAAACCTTCAGCATCAGGAGTTAAATTTTGTAAAAGCTAATTGAATAGAAATAAAATATAAATTAAGTAAAAACCTATGATAATACTGTAAATAAGTATGTACAGTACAAAGCAATCGACCAAATCAATCAATTTATTCACCACAGAATGTCCGAAATGTACAGAAATACAAGTTGATTAAACTAAGTTAAATCCAGGGTAGTGATCATAGATAAATTCTAGATTTAAAAAATAGGTTATCTATTTGCATTAGTAGGAATACTTTTGCAATAAAAGGTCCTAATGAGACATGGCTATTTATGATATATATATATATATATATATATATATATATATATATATATATATCCAAAACATACATCAGTTATCATCTATAATATTTAGGTAAAAAAGCAGATGCAACTATCTAAAACAAACAATCTAACTTAACTAATCACAATGAATAAAATTAACTACATGCTTATCATATAGTTGAGATCATGAGTCAATTAAAGCTAAACCACCATAAAAACCTGGAAGCACTGGACGGCTGTTTCGTTTTATTGTGGAACTCCTCAGCCTTGCGCATCTACGATCCCGCTTCACGAGATTTGAACCCAGGACCTACCAGTCTCGAGCCAGAGCACTTACCCGATGGACCACTGAGCCGGCATCAGTGCTTATCAGTTAATCTGTTTTCAATATTTCAGCAAATAGTTCATTTTATCACTTAATAATAACGTTTATTTAACTTATATTCTGTTCTTTTAATACTTCATTTTTTCAAAAGTTGCTTACATTTGTTAACAATATCTCAATATGCTTCATAAATCAAGCATTTTGTCGAACTTTTCAAGAATCAATTCATGACAATTCAGTTTCCTACTTTTATACTTCAATAATTGGCTTTTGTTCGACAAGTACATCATCGACAAAACTATTTATCTCTTAATTTGAATGAGATGATTTGGTTAAGCTAATTTGGAACTATTATAAATAGTAAAAGTATGTAGTTACCGGTTGGTCTGTGATTTTGAAAATTGACTTATTGCTACATTAATTTAGCTCAATAAAAACTTTGATTTCCCAGTGTATACTAACATATTTAGTTATTCAACTAGTATGCCATTAGAAATATTTCTGATTGCGACTTGGAGATAAAACCAGTGAGAAAATTAATAATTCGTTTACTTCAGTTGGTTTAATATTTCGTTTTATCGATTAGGTAATCGACGTGGATACTCAATGATTCATACTAGATCTAAGTAACAGGTACAAGTAGATCTCATGAAACATAATGTTTTGTCATGGATTCATCGTAAGTTCAGAAGTTGGTCAAATGTTGTAAAATATAGAAAATCATCTTATATCGATTTCATGATTTGAAGTACTTAGGCTAAAGTAGATATTTCTGGTTGTAAATGAATAACGCTGCAAAAGTGTGTTGAATAAGCGAATAGTGGACAACTCTGACAAACGTCACATGAGGTTGACTGTTCTGATGAGTACTACTAATCAAACTTCTTGGTCCTTTCGATGAAAAAATTATGATTTTTAACATGTTTCTATTAATAATTCTCATGAAATAGGATGTTATTAAAAGGCTACTATATTAAGTAATTTATCTTGGTAACAAGTTAACTGTTTTCTGAAAACCATAGTAGATTATTTCAAACATATATTTACCAAGTGTATATTCCAATATCTACAGTTTACAAAATATATTGTTCTGATAAAATGTGGGAGACAACAAACCAGATTCCAGCGGAGGAAGAAATCAGAAAGAAGCGCTGGAAGTGGATGGGACACACATTGACGAAATCACTCAACTGCGTCACAAGACAAGCCCTCACATGGAATCCTGAAGACCAAAGGAGAAGAGGAAGACCAAAGAACACATTACGCCGAGAAATGGAGACAGATATGAGAAGAATGAACAAAAATTGGATAGAACTACAAAGGAAGGCCCAGGACAGAGTGGGTTGGAGAATGTTGGTCGGCGGCCTATGCTCCATTGGGAGTAACAGGAGAAAGTAAGTAAGTAAGATAAAATGTTATATATTCTCATAATACAAATTTTAAGATATGATATCAGTCGTTTGAAAATCTCATTCAATAAAATAAGGCTTGATACGGAAACTAGATAATGATAAAGCATCATTGAGAGACTTCATGTAACCGATTTTCAACAACTCAACTATCATATTTTTTAGCTACATTTCTTCAAAAATATGGATTGCATTATTGATCTAAACCAACAATGTAACACTTAAGATCGAGTACATAAACCTGTACACGGTAGATGAAATACAGTAATCACTTATTTTGAATATGTACATATATTTACTTACATCACGAACTTTATGTACATCAAAAATTTCACTATTTGATGTTGCGGTAGGTATTGGCAATAATTCTGGTTCAGCCGATTTTATACAGTCAAACATGAATTGTTTTCTTTTTTCCTCTTCTAATTCTTTCAATTCCAATTCTTTTGAACTAACCAACTATTGTGTGATAAGAAACATACAGAAAAAAACATTGCAATATTAGAAATATGAAACCATTAGTGATTTGATTAATAGAAAGATTTAAGTGTGAAATCATTAAATTTTAAAAGTAAATTCCCTAGGGTTACGCTACAATTAGAAAACTGTATGATTTTGACTTATTTAACTAAACAAAAAATGGACATTAACATTTGTGTAATCCGTAAAATATTGACTTGATTTTGTATAAAATATTATGGATCCATAAGCTTGAAGAGTTACAAACTAGGATACACTAAATGCTTAATGATTTACAGTCATCAACGGTTCAGCAGTTAGTTTTATTTCAAGTGAAAAAAAATCTTCGGATTGTAAATAGTTCTCAATTAATTGATTGAGTAACTAAAAAGAAACTGTTATATCTAGAGCCTTGATTCTTAATATGCCGCGAACTACTCGACTACTTGAACGATAGAACCCGCAACGTCGCGAAAAAGAGAGAAGACAAAGATTGGTAAATAGGAAGTTTATTCCCCAAATCAGTGTCAAAATATAGCACAGAAATCTCGTGTATTTTTAGTTTTTTGGCTGAATGTAAATCATCATTTAGGTCAACCAATAGGCACATAGAGGTCATGCTAATCCATCCAATGGGGAAGCTACATGTCGACATTCTAGAACATTCCATTAGCACTGATTCAAATTTAATCAATGCATAAGTATGTTAAGATCAGTCATCATTGTGATATGTCTTCGAGACTATTGTCTATTAATATGCTTCATCCTATTTTTAATTATTTATTTAGTGTACTAGTATAACAGAAGGTTGCGGAGGCTTTTTAAGGTATAGTAATGATTATTTTATGTAATCTAAAGGAAAATCTTTTATGTATGATCAGCTAACCAGGGTTTGACATTTTTTGCATTGATATAAACGTTTGAACAATTTTTTGGGATGAAAAATAAAACTCACCATAATATGTGTGAAAATAACATTGAGTTAACTAACTACTAAGTGAGTTCTACATTTCATTGTTGTTGATATCAATCTGAATATAAATAGAAATGATTTAAATCTATGAGACTAAGGATTTCAGTGTTAAACAATATGTTTTAGATTTCACACTTCTGTAGCATTTGAATATGTATACGAATCGTTAACAGGAACTTAGTAAATGAAGTATGAATAATAATATCTTTTAAATTCACTTAGTATTGTTTGTTTAAAGCTTCCCATTGTTATTTAGGACTGTAATGGATCAGTCTGTTATTGACATATGTGCATCCTGTGTGTATTACCTTGATGTATCCATAATTCACAAGTATTATAAGCAAATATGGATAGTGGCTAGTAGTGGAATCCAGGACACGCTTTTCGTCCTATTTGGGACTCGTCCATGTTTGCTTACGATAATATATTTTGCTTCATTATCTTCTGTTATATCCAATTTATGAAGGTTAGTTAATTTAAGCTATCACTAAATTATAAAATTATTATCTGCAGTGGGACCCAAACATGAGTAAGCAACAATCATAAATGATGTAATCAAGAAAGTGGTCAGAGTTAAACAATTGTATAGAAATAGCGAGGTGAATATTATATAACAATGGTGGAATCATGAAGACAATTATTTAAAAAGAAAATTAAAAACAGGATTCAGTTACATATTTTATCTAGTAAAACTAGTTTCCAGTATCTAGGCAACTAAGTTTTCAGTAATACTAACAACAGTTTACATATATACGTCACATATCACTTCTAATTCCATCTATATTATAATTGGAAAGTATAAACGAAACTGAATATACTAATATACTTTGTAAATTAATTCAATATCTAAAAAACTCATTATCAAAAGTTATCATATAAGGCACACTGATTAGTAATACATGTTATTTATGCATAATATAAAAAATACACAGAAAGCGATTAAAGCAATACAACTGAGGTAAATATATAGGTATAGCTATATGTTTAAAATAAAGAATGAAAGTCTTTAAAAAGAATGTTCTTCGCAGCAACGTTACAAATAGTGTTTTCCAGCTGATCAATATTCATCACTAATCTTATGGATATATTATCTCATCTGACCAACTCTATATGCACTTATCAATGTACCTGCTCATATGTAGCCAGGTATTATAGGTCGTTCAATGCCTACTTTATCCAAAAGAATTTAAGAAAATTACACGGATTTGCTGAAAAAAGGCCGAAATGGCTCAATAAGAAGCTCAATAATGATAAACTTTGTGAACACAGGTGACTCAATCAAAGCGGACTCTTCGTTCAAAATAATTTAAAAGGTAAGTGGAAGGCTGCTAAAAGCAGTTGTATCGCATCTTCTTAACATTGCCATTAGCATTAGCCGTATATTTGGGAAAACTAAAATTGTGTGTCCTAAAGAAATTGGTACAACCTCTTATACAATGGTCTTTATGTCTCATAATTTTTCTCTTATTTATACTTTTATCCTTTACAACCATCTGCTCATCCTTCCATGTTTTCCATAGACCTTCTATTCCTAGCTGGCTTATTTCTTTTTTCTTTGGTCCTCCCAATCACATTTCATCTCAATTTCAACAATTAATCATATCATACTGAGCCATCCTTTCGCAATTATAATTTCCTTATTTACCTTCATGATGAATATTTAAGTTTTTATCAATAAACCTATTATTAGTTTCTCAGGTTAAAAAGAACATTTTTTAAAATACTTTTGTTTATTCTACCTTACTGTTACGATGTTTAACAGAATTTTATTGTCACTATTAATGTAATTATTATCATCGTGAAAAAAACAGGTATGTACTTTTGCGATTGTCCAACTTCAAAAAAATTAAATTTACCGCAAAGAGAACTCTTCATAATCACAAAAATATGTTACATCAAAGAATAGCCTTTCTATTATACAAATATCAACTTTCAATGAAAACCGAAAAATGATAGGCATTATAAAGCATGTTACCTTTATAAGCAAAAATGGATAGTGGCTAGCAGTGGAATACAGAACGCGAGTTTCGTCCTATTTGGGACTCGTCAGTTGGATGTACCTGCATCTCAGAGTTGATGTTCACTCTGGGACTCCAACCCAGTACCTTTCGCTTCAAACGCCTTCACGTTTTCCACTCAACTATCGAGTCCTGATATCCACTTGTTTGTGCAACAGGGTGTGTTAGATCGGCTTACAATAAACTCTATCAGAGCCTCCAGAGAGGCTCATAAAGAGACCAACCAATCAGCGATTAGTTAGAAGCTATGCTACTAAAATAACAAGGTCCTGATTGGCTGTTAACATACTGTTACTATGGGATCTCAAGGTCTTTTAGCTACTATAAAACCCCTGTTTTTCTGTACATAATTGAACCTTGTAGTAAAGTGCTTCTCTGATACTCGTGTCTTCTCTCTGGTCTTCCAAGTCGCTGAGTAGTGCTAGCCTGGGGTTATCCGAATAGCTAGGATCCGAATAAAGCGTTCAACTTACGAGTCATAACAGGGTGAAGTTTAAATTCATTTGATATTGTTTGTATGAATCTTCCTATTGATGTTTAGGACTGCAACTGGTCAGTCTCTTATTAGCATATGTGCATACTATGCGTATTGCCTCGATATAGCCTTATATCACAAGCATTAGAAGCAAAGATGTTTAGCGGCTAGCAGTGTTACCTTTATCCAAAAGTTTCGTATTATTTTAATCATTAGTTTAAATAATACCAAATTAAACAAATTGCTTTTTTTTGAAGAGTGTAAAAAGCAAAAATCATAATTATCAAAATTAAGTTAGTAACCCGCCAGAAATTATTGTGTTAAAAAAGAAAAAGATGATTTATTCAATATGAATTGTGAATGAATGAAATATATAACTGAAAACAAGAAGGAATATATACATACATATGCTTCAACACTCCATGTGTTTCATTATGATATATTATCTTACCAATTTATTGATATTATTCAGAAGGGTACGAAATGGTGATGTTAACCACTAAACAAGGAATTAGTTAATTTAAAAAGTTATATAAAAATGATTTCTATTGAAATGTATACGAATTATATTACGATAAAAGTAAACTACTTGAATAAATATATGGTTGTCAGTCAGTCAGTCAGTCAGTTACGACGTAGAACTTTGTACGTACGTACATCAGTTCGAGTTGTCATACCACATTAGCACAGAGATGCAGTTCTCCATTCAAATCCCATAGTGGTAGTAGTAGTAAGAGTATAAGCAGTAAACCGAAAGATTAGCATTTGAAGATGTTATTCAAGGAGTGTAATACAGTGAATTAAATTTAGAAAGAGAAAAAGGATAGTAACATGAAGAATTCAGAAGATTAGAATTTGGCAGAACACAAAGAGTGGATGCACCTGCGCAATTGCATTGTTTGGTTGAATGAAGTGTTGTATTGGTAAAGCTAATGATAGATGGTTTATTGTGCGAAATAATGAGTGGATAAAATTATCATGTCTAATATGTAAATGTAGTCAGATTCTTTATTCGAGATGTTGTGCAACGATCCAGTTGAAAATGTAGATTATGTAAAATTTGACTTTGTATTCTCTAGGTAGCTTACTGGTTTTGAAGTCTCAAGCTCGTACGTTCGAAACCTTGGAGAATCGTGAATACACGCTACTGCGAAGCCTTACACCAAATCTAAGTAACTGTTAATTATTTCCATGTTTTTAGTAGTTCCTCCTTTGATACTGACCTTTGACGAAAAACAGATTCCAGACAATCGAATGTTTTCATGATGAAAGCAAGAATACTTATAACTCAGTATGTATATTAGACATTTAGTTAGTGATGGAAATATTAACTGAAAAAGGACTGTTAGTTTTCATCTATGATATCACGAAATAAAAGTAATTAAAATTCACTTTTAGAAACTAAAGGACTTACTTCCCAGTTAACAGTTTCCCGTTTTAATAGTTGCAAAGCAGCTTTTTCTTCTTCCATAGAAGGTACACTATCATGTTTTTCTACTGTTTTGCTAATATCTGTTGTATCTCTAAAGGAAGAACTATCTGTTGAGTGTTCTATATTCTGTAATTTTTTCAATTTATTTTGCTGACAGTGCTCATTCTGATCACTTGATATTTTTGGTGCTTCTTTTAAAGTATTTGTGTACTTTTGTTGATTGTTCAAAATTAATAATGTGCGAGAATGATCATCTGAACTACCGATACGCGGTAGGACCCAATCGAATGTGTTTGGGACAACTACAAAATGACAATAATTATGATGTCGATGAGTGTGTTTGTGATTATGATGACGATGGATTGTCTTCTCAAATTTACTAACATCATCATTGTTATCATCATCCAAACAGAAATGTTCACTTGAAACTGGACTGACAATAGATGATTTGAAAAAATTTAAATTTCCTAATGATTTTGAATGAAGTTTGCTAATGATTGTGTTGGCTTTATTCGTATCTTTGATTTCAGTACTTTTAATCGATAATTGACTGACTTCCATATCTGTGCACTGTTTAACATCATCTTCGTATCCATGAAATTGACAAGTTAGAAGGAAGTCAAATAAAATTTTCGATCTGTTTAGGAAAAAAAACGAAAGGAAGAAGGGTTCACAACAAAACTGTTAATGAAAAAGGTTTCCAAGTAATAGAAATCTATACTGGTTACTAAACAGTTTCTGGCTTATCAGTCAATCAAGCTGATAAATAGTTAAGAGTAAATGTTACTGTTCAGTTGTTTTACAGTAGAGATGATAACAAGTCATCTAAAAGTTTCTATGTACCATTTTGGTATACCTATTTAGTCAGTCTCCAATTTGGTGAGACAAATACTTTTCTGCAATACAAATAACTACTCAATAGATTATATATAGAATATAACTGTATGGTTTATTACCCTTATGAATCTAAATAAAGGTGAATACTGTAAATAATTTAACGAATGATATAAATCAATTTGTTATGAGTTCTAAAGTACTTCAAATGTGAAAGTATTTGAGAAATTATGAAACAATAACATTTGCTATGTTTGTCACATAAATTTTTCTGGTTAGCGTTTTTTTTTAGCGAGTTCGTTTTCTACGAGATGGGGTCGCTAACTCCATGCCCAATCTGGGGACCGGCAGTATCCCCCGGGGGGCTACAGAGTTTTGTCACATAGTAAAAAATTTAACAAATTCATGTCCATATAGAATACTAAGTCATAATAGGCCAATGATAAAATAATAAAAAAATTTCGATTTTATTCGTGTTTATTTTAGTTAATAACAATGAGTATCCACTATTACCTTAATAATTTGCTTTTCATTACCACATATACAGAAGAATGATTTCGTATATAAAATTGTTTTACATGATGAAATAAATTAAGTAATATATTCAAACTTATAATAACCTAAATGTAATATTTTTAAATTAAAGCTACCTAGCATTCATTTCGTCCTAATGGTTAGATATACAAACATTCTAATATTTATACATACACTGCTAGTCAACTTAATATCTATATCTTCAAACTCTAGTAAGTTATTTATCTGTAATAACTTAGTCCATATAGTCACTAAAGTGTTCAACGTACTTACTTACTTACGCCTGTTACTCCCAATGGAGCATAGGCCGCCGACCAGTATTCTCCAACCCACTCTGTCCTGGGCTTTCTTTTCTAGTTCTATCCAATTTTTGTTCATTCTTCTCATATCTGTCTCCATTTCTCGGCGTAATGTGTTCTTTGGTCTTCCTCTTCTCCTTTGGTCTTCAGGATTCCATGTGAGGGCTTGTCTTGTGACGCAGTTGAGTGATTTCGTCAATGTGTGTCCTATCCTCTTCCAACGCTTGTCTGGTCCCGCTGCTTTGCCGCTCTTGATTTGTCTGATGGCCATGCTGATCTCTTTAATTGTTGGTGGGCCAACATCGATTGGGAGGTCTGTAGGTGCTGCTTCGTTGTTGGGTGGGTTCAGTGGAGCTGGTAGATTCAAGAGTTTATTAAAGTGCTCTAACCACCTGTATCGCAGTTCTTCAAGGTTGGTGATTACCTTACCTTCCTTGCTCTTCACTGCTCGTTCTGGTTTACAGTAATTTCCAATGAGTTTCTTTGTTGTGTCATACAGTTGTCAAATGTTTCCTTCTCTTGCAGCCTTTGCCGCCGCCATTGCTAAATCTTCCACATGTTTACGTTTGTCGGTTCTGATGCTTCTCTTCACTTGCTTGTTTAATTCTGTGTATTCAGCTTGTGCCCTGGCTTCCTCTGCGCTTGTTCGGCTGATATTAATTGCTGCCTTCTTGTTCCTCCTTTCTTCAATCTTATCCAGTGTACCAACAGTGACCCATTACATGTGATGGTGCTTCTTTCGGCCCAGAACCTCCTGACATGTTGAAACGATTGCCTCCTTGATACTTTTCCAGTTGCTCTCCATGGTAGTTCCCTCTCCATTGAGTAGATCATGAAAGGCCTGGAACCTGTTGCTGAGGTCTATGTTGAATTTGTTGAGTTTGTCAGCATCTCGAAGAAAAACCGTATTAAACTTTTGTGATGTTATCAGTCCCGTTGTCCAGTGCTTCTTAAGCTTTTATTTCATCTTGGCAACCAGCAAATGATGATCTGATGCTATATCAGCTCCTCCTGAACTTTTTGTTGATGCAGATATGGTCGATTTGGTTCTGTGTAGAGTGGTCCGGTGAAGTCCATGTGGTTTTGTCCAAAGTGTATGATATTCATTCTTCATAAAAGTTTATGTTTTCTCATTTTTCATATTTAGGACTAGAATTTACCTTTTCTTGGCTGAATTACCATTCAGTCAGCGAATTCTTATTAACTGCCCTCTTTGCAGCAGGGGTCCTGTTTACGAAATTGAAAGAACGAAAAGCTAATGTTCAGAGCTTTAATTAGGTTGGTGGACACGGAGGATCCACCTAGAGGAGATGGGAAATCCCCATTTCAGACCAATGTTGCATATGGGATCCAGGATCCTGGGGGAACAAATGGTGTATGAAACTATTGTTAATCACCAACTACCATGGGAATGCATCTCCTTACCTTGCTTTACTGTCTTGTGGACTAAACTTCTAGGTCAAATGCTCGGGGTTTGGTCTACAAAGAAGACCACCTGCTTCGATTTAGGCGTCCGGGAGGTATCCCAGCCCCAAAACTAATCTAACGATTTATGTAGCGCAAATATATTTGGTGCCTTTTCGTACCAATGTTTGCAGATAAGAAGGTATAAATGAAATGCAACATGAGACCTAGATTCAACTGCTAGCTACAGTTTAAAAATATAATAAATTCTAAAATTGAAATTAGTTTAGAGTCATCTACTCAGAATTAATAACGTACTAACGGAGACTAACAAAGATTTAGATCTAAATATCAACTAGCTAGAAACACAACCTCTTACAAACAGTTTGGATTACTTTCAGAATTGTTCAAAGTTTACTTAAGGATACTCACAACTAATTCAATTAAAATTAGAGATTCAGAATGGAATTACAATTAAGTAGCAGCTCATTATAACGTATATTTGAATCAGTTTCGTAATAATTTTATCATTCAAAATATCTAAGAAAAAATTCAAACAGTTCCTTTTTTGGAATAGGGGTTTGCGAAGATTATAATGATTTTAATTGTCGAGTTCATGGGTCGATGTAAGTCAGACCACCTGGAAGCACTGGACGGCAGTTTCGTCCTAGTATGGGACTCTTAAGTATATTAGAAAACAATAACAAAATATTCTTTCATTTCATTAAATAATGACATAATGTCAAATAAATTACGATTACTTTTCATTTGGTATTAAAAACCAATATTCTTCTGATTGAACAGTAAACCAAAATGGATGTCTTCTATGACTGTTATTTTCAACTGAATTAGTATATGCTAATATACATAAATAAAATGGATTATCATCTAAATAAAAAAGAAAGGGAAACATAAATGAGACTAAAGAAATTGTCATGCGTAGATATATATACAAAGGGAATTTTACGAATATATTACTTATAACAGTATGATCAACTACAAACAGAATACATTTATTATTGTGAATAACGACCAGGTCTTATTCGATTAATTTTGGACAGTCAGAACATTTTAGTTGAGGAATCACTAGTAATCAAGATATATTTCAAACTGAGAAGCAAGAACTCATGTACCTTAAATGAACAAAAGCTAAGATGGTTAGCAGAGATGGATAGTGGCTAGCAGTGGAATCCAGTTTGACGCGCGTTTCGTCCTATTTGGGACTCGTCAGCTGGATGTACCTGCATCTCAGAGTTGATGTTCACTCTGGGACTCCAACCCAGTACCCTCGCTTCAAACGCTATCGTGTTATCCACTCGGTCACTGAGTCCTGATAGCCACTTGCTTGTGCAACAGGGTGAAGTTTAAATTCACTTAGTATTGTTTGTTTGAATCTTCCCATCGATGTGTTAGGACTGCAACTGGTCAGTCTCTAATTGGCATATGTGCATACTGTGTGTATTGCCTCGATATACCTTAATTCACAAGCATGGTTAGCAGAGAGTCCCAAGAAAGACGAAACGCGCGTCCTGGATTCCACTGCTAGCCGCTATCCATCTCTGCTAACTATGCCTGTGAATTAAGGTATATCGAGGCAATACGCACAGTATGCACATATGCCAATTAGAAACTGACCAGTTGCAGTCTTAACAAATGGATGGGAAGATTCAAAAAACAATACTAAGTTGAATTTAAAAGCTAAGATGTTTATATTCGTTAAGTATTGTTTGTTCGAATCTTCCCATTGATGTTTAGGACCGGTGCTAGGTTCGAGTCCCGGTGTGATCATCAACTCTGGAATAAAGGTACATCCAGCTGACGAATCCCAAATAAGACGAGACGAGACAAGCACGTCCTGGATTCCGCTGCTAGCCAACATCGATCTTTGCTTATAGGATATTTGTGTTTTACTGGGTAAATAGTACCATAGAATGAGAATGAGCAGGAATCCAGTAATCGTTGTTTGTAACTTCTGTTAGTTATGTCCATAACTGACCAATCAAATCGTTGCTTAAGCTCTCACCATGTCAATCTGGTCTAGTATGTCTGTAGACTATCTCTACTGCATGTGACTCGCCTATTGAAAGACTCATAATTTTTATTGATTTCCATAAGACACGCAATACTGATCGGTATGTTAGTGAGTTCCACCTAATGACTATAATTCCTTTAATTATTGTACTAATCAAACTGTTATTTTTACGTTTAGAAACAGATGAATTTTAAAGCCAAGTTGTTCTTGTTTTGATTATAGTTTTCACATAGACTCTGGGATCGCCAGTATCACGTTTACAGTTCTAGTAGTATATTTGTAGAACAAATTAAATCCTACAACTTCATTTGAAAAGCGATTTCTTATTTAATGATCATACAGTGTTTCCTACTAGCATTCCGCTTAATTGACTGTAAGAATCATGGTTTTTCCACCAAAAACATTACTGGTTTGGTTCTATAACTCCAAAGTTATTATAGTCAACTCTTAACATTGATGTCGGCTTTAAATTTTAAAAAAATGTGATCCACAGAAGTCGATATTAGTTGATGAACTGATCCTAAAGACTAATTCGAACACACACAGCATAGAGCCAATAGATTTTGTCCACAAGTCAGGTAGACAGATAGCATAGAAATTAATTCAAGCATTTATCAACTATAATAAGCGATGACTTAACTTTTTGAAGAGTCCTAACTAACATAAAACGTATGTTCAGGGTCACTCTGACAACTACCGGCGACTACTTAACTTTATTAAAATAACTCCATCAGGAATATGATACACGTGTGTATTCGAGATTCAAGTTACAATAAATATTAGAAAGTAACACAAGAATTACGCAAAAAACTGAATTGTTGAAGCGTAAAATGTGTTACACGCTTCGTTTATTCTGAATGAGATTGAAAACGAGTAAGTCGCTTATGGAAACTTCAATTTCAGTTTGATAACTCCAGCTTTTATCCAGAGATTCATCATTCAAACAATAATTTAAGTTTACTCCAAGTTAATGATTTAGTAAAAAAAACTATCAACTGGAATAAACTAAAACAAGAAAAAATAGTATGAGAGTGTGTGATGAGTGTAGAATTCTCACAATTCACTTTACTAGATAATCTTATTTAGATAACCAATGAAAACCACGGAGAAACGGATAGTTATTTCGTTATCCTATGGAACTTGTAAGCAACCTGCACCAACGACCTCACCTAGAATCGAACCAATGATCATTGTTCTTGCCTAACCTCTAGACCACTGATTTACAAGTCCAACTTTTAGCAGTTCGTGAAACAGTGCAATTGTCTTACATTACTATCCACGTTGCACATTGTTTAGGAATCTCATACTAAGAAGAAATATCTGTCCAATGCCTCTTCATTTACCACAGGGGTTTGGTTAAGATTAACTTTTGATTTAAACTATGAAATGTACATTACCTGTAGTTCATAAATTATTCTTTTTTTTTATAACGAATGGGAAACTAGGAATTATAGATTCAATAAACTGTCCATGTTATATTTATAATTTGAAAGTAAAAAAAAAGAAGCATTTTTAAAACTCGATGACAATTAAAACTGATAATCAAAGAATTTCACTACTTATAAGTATTATATTACAAATAAAATAGGTTTCTATTTGTAGGTGAAAGTGATATTTCCCTTAGGGAATATCAGATACTCTTGTGTTTATTCATGTAAGAAAATTTAAATTTTATGGCAAACACTTTGAAAAAATGTGAAGAATAAATTTCAAAATAGAGTGAAGAATTTGTAGAATGAAATAAAGTTTAGTGTATAGTTAAATCTTAGTTTAAGTAATACAGCCCCTGTTATTATAAAACAAAAAAAAAGCTAAATCAAATCAAACATTACCGAGTATATAGAGATTTATGTTAGTTACAACATCAGATTACAATTTTTTTTAAATTTCCGGTAGGAACTAAATCACTTTATGAAATACATTTTCATAATATTGAATAGTAACGGATGAAAGTGGAATTCACTGAAACATTAAACAAGCGTAGGTTTACAGCAAACAGAAAACATAGTAACTGTTTATTTGTCATAATTCTTTTTTGAAAGCCTATATTCATCAAACCACAGGATGATTTAGTGAAGTTTTAAAGAATATGCCTTTGTAGAGATTAATTTCTCTATATCTGACTCTAATAAATAAATATCCCGTTAACTGAGTATTTACGCAAACCAAATCCTTAGTAGTATTATGAATTTCCTAGAGATTATTCCTAAAGCGAGGACACTAGTTGTAGGGATAGTGTATTTTTAAGAGTTGGTAAAATCGGTAAGCAACATAGAAAGTGAAAGAGAAAGAGAGAGCGAAGAGAGTAAAGCGAAACGAACCAGAGAAGGCTCGTGAGCCAACTCGATTTAATCAAGCGTGAATAGATATTTTTATATACAAACAAAAATAAGCTACAGACACATGATGAATAGCGTAATTAATTACTACACATACGATCATATAAAAATCTATCACGGTTATTAAGCTAATAAGTAACAGGTTAAAAAAACGTGACTTGACAAGAATGAATAGATTTATTTGTGCAGAGGCTAGTATACCCTATATGAGCTTGACATAGTACTAGCCCCTATACCTTCACTTCAATTTGTTATTCACTGACGTTATCATTGAGTTTATGTTACATAAATTGTTTATGTTTTTAAGTACTCGCTTCGGCGGTACATATATTAAAATTTGAACGATACAGAGATTAGCGTGGCCCTTGCGCAAGGATGAAACGCAAAATTGTGAAGCGTTCCATATTTTTGCCCCCCAAATGCCCTGGTACAGCCGAGAGTGGAGAGAGTACGCTCTCCCTCTCCCAATGCTCTCATAAAGCCTCTGACAAAGAAAACCTACTCACTGCATTCTCGTGGCATTACTGTTGTTTACGAAATTGACAGGACGAAAAGCAGATGTACGGCGCTTTAACCGGGTTAGTGAACACGGTGAGTCCACCTAGGGGAGTTGAAAAAACGTGATTCCAAACCAATGGTGCACATGGGTCCCAGTATCCTGAAGGAACAAATGGCGTATGAACCAACTGTTGGTCATCGGCTACCATGGGACTGCATCTCCTTACGATGCTCCACTGCCTTGTAGATCAGATCTTTAGATCAAAGGCTCCGGGTGTGGCCCCCTAAGAAAACCGCCTGTTTCGGTTTGGCCACCTGAGCAGTATCACAGCCCTCACGCAAATCAAATAAGATTTGTGTAGCTGTTATGTATCTGGTGCCTCTTTGTACCAATATATATGTGTTCAAATAAATAAATAAACTATTTAATCAGGATAAATGCAAATTTATAGATTAAAATCATTATCGATAATTCATAACAAATTCTTACCTAAATCGCATTTCTTCAAATTTGAAGCAGACAAACTATCAGTTGTAATCACATTTTCAATATCTTTTTGTCCAATATCATGTTTTTCACCTGAATTCATTTCACAAGTAATTCCTTTAATTTCTATGGGATTTGACAACTCCGTTGAACTATCATCGTTCTTTGTAATTATTACACAAGGTGTTTGTTCGGTAGAATTTATAATTTCATTAACATCACATTCAATATTTACGTTACTGGGACATGAAGTAGGTTGCCTAAGGTAAATATGAAAAAATAATGACGTATTTCATATAGAATACAATATTTTAACATTAAGCTGACAATCATTCAAAATTCATGTCTCATAGAAATTACAAACGACAATTGTACAGGAACTGTTTTAAGACTGATATATTGCATGCTATCAATAAAATATTTGACAGCGCTGAAAAGTATATATATATATATATATATATATATATATATCGAACCGTCAGTCATTAGTCCCAGAGTGAACATCAACTCTGAGATGCAGGTGCATCCAGCTGACGAGTCCCAAATAGGACGAAACGCGTGTCCTGTATCCCACTGCTAGCCACTATCCATCTTTGCTAACCACGTCAGTCATTAGGTTTTATGTTCTTTAAAAACATGGTAATATCGTTGCGCAGTTGTTTTCTTTAGACTCGTGTTCTTATTTGAATACACTTTTTGAGTTGATCAAGTTATCACTAAACCAAATATGCGAAATTATTTTTATTCTTCCCTATAGTATTTTCTTTTTCGATAGTTACTTATATGACGTAATAGACTCATGTTTCATTTTGGCTAGAAGAAATTGACAATTAATCTATAGTGAAGAATGTTTATTACTTGACAAAATGAACCTTATAACAACCCTCTGATCTAATATTCACTCAGAATAACTAGTTAAGCATTTATTCATTCAGTGATAAATTGAATTTTTCTTCTTTTGTTTTAATCGGTTGTCATTCTAAACGTTTTGCCTGTGATATGAGTAACACTGAAACACGCGAATAGCGATTATAAATCGACTGGAATCTTGTTGAACGAATACAATGTATTTCTATGATTGAATAGTATATTTTAACATAAAAATAGATCAACGACAAGGTGTATATTTACTCTGTTCTTAGTCATTTCATTAAGGCATTTGTTAACATCTGTTATGATGGAAGTAAATGGTACAATCCAATCCCCTATTTCTACTGAAATTGTTCATCCAGTCAATTTTTTAGTTGGTTCACGTTTTATTGATCAATATACTTATATTCGGTGTTATTTCATATCTAATCAGTTTAGAAACATTTATCTCTTTGTTAAAAGTAATTCCCTCAGCTCAAATTTTGCCAGATATGGGATCAATGATGCTTCCCAGGTACGTGAATGTTTCGCCATCAAGTGTGATCGGGTTGGTGTTCTCTTTGTTGTATTTGAGAATCTTGTTATTTCCTTTGTGTATTTTGAGGCCTATTGATGCAGAGACTGCTGCTACATTTGATGTCTTCGTCTGTATTTGTTCGTGTGTATGAGAGAGGAGGACGATTTTTAAAGGTCTGTATAAAAAACTGGTTTGCGGAAATTACAAAAGGCATATTATGGATAATGATGAGATATCGAATCATATTGCAATAGTCTGAAATATAACTAGATAGAACTGTAATGTATCGCATAAGCACCAAGTAGTGATCGCCTTGGTTTTAAATAGTGTGTAAAAAGACTTTGTCGTCCCTTCGGCAACATCATATTGCTACTATTATTATGTTATTATTTAATCCCTTTTCGGTGTTTTTTGATCTATAACCGTATTCATTCATACAAGATAGTGAACAACATTCAACAACACCTGAAAACCATATATAATTCACCAATTCATGTTCACTTGTCTACAGATATTGATGTTGTATTTTACATGAACGATGAATGATAATAACAGAGTAGAATTATTTCACAAAATCAAAATGTTTAAACCTTTCTTTCCAATCTTAATCAATTTACAGTGAATAGGACAAGCCTTATAAAGTGAAGTCAGTCTCATATCAAACTAACCCCACAGAATTATACGTTTTAACCAAACAATCTGAATACTTACATGATATACTAATCAAACTATCCAGATTATCTACAGTGGTTTAATAAAATTAAAACCCCTTTTATATAAATCCAAAGCCTTCAGAAAGCAAATTGCATCGAATACATTCATACAAATTATCTTATATGACAATAATTAAATTAATAAGACAATTTAATCATATTAAAAAACGGAATTGAAAAATGATGTAAAAATTGAAAAAAAAAAGCCTTAAGGCAACCAAAATTTTTGTATTTATCTTTTGTTAATTTAGTTTCCATTTAAAAACCAAAAAAAAATTTTCAAGAAAAAAAAAAGAATCTTTCCACTTTTTTTACTTGGCGCATTAGAATATTAATTAGTTTTTGGGCATTGATCCATTTATATTGATCAATTAGCGTAATTAAGAAAAAAAAACAAGTCGAAAAAGAGAAGGAATATAATCTAATTAATGAATTGCATTTTTTGGGTATGTACTTAGTAAATTGAAATATATTACTTATCGAAAAGAAAGGACACCTTCAAATAGATGAATAAAATTATTGTGGGAAAAGAATAGTTCAGAGATGAATTAATAAAAAGACTTGTATAATTTATTTATATCTATAAGAAAATAATGAAAAAGTTCAGGGAGGATTAACTGTATACATTTGTAGAGCTTTGGTTAAATAAATGTTCGAGAAGTCAAACAGTTATACATAATGAGGTGTGTCGCTCAATTTCGTGGATCAGTTGAAGTTAGATGTTAACACCGTTGAATGCCAGCTCAGTAATCTAGAGGTTAACCGTTCGCGCGCGAGACCGTGGATGCGCACTGCTGAGGTGTCCCATAATAGGACGAAACGGCCGTCCAGTGATTCCAGGTTATTCATGATGGTCTAGCTTCAATTGATTCATGATCTCAACTATTAAAATTACTATAATATCGACAAAAACCCCTTTTGATATTAATATTGTATTTATCTGGACCTTATTTCTAATTCGATTTTATAAACCAAGTTCTAATGTGTTCACTGGTTTAAGTAAATTGGGAGTGGCTGGAATATGTTTAAACAATACGGCGGTTGGAAGTGATGGGTATTGGAGCCCTGAAATGAGCCGCTTTCTTAGTTGCTACTCGTCACGGTAGTATAAATAGCAAGCAGATAGAGATAATGCTTCATGTATGCTATAAACCATGTGCAAAGCGAAATTTCTGTTGGGGTATAATAAATATCAGCAGTGCTACATCACAAATAACTGAACTTAGGAAATACAATTAGTGAATTTTATCAAATAATCATTGCACATCTTAAACTTAATGCTTGTTGGTGAGAAGGTTCAGAAAACTAATGAGTTAAATTTTAGTAATAACACAGGTTTTGAAAAAAACAGATACTACGTTTTCTTTCACTACTGTGCAAACTTACGTTCCACGTTTTGTAAAATACATAACAGATGGATCCCTGTAAACTGCAATTGTACGAAATTGACTTAAGGGAATCTGTTTACAATGATTTTCCAGTGGGTATTGTTCCTCGTCGTATGGTTTAAACACAAACATGTTTGTAGTTACCAAAATTATTCCAGGGACAGAACACTAGTACAGGATATAAGTAGAGAAATTAATTAAAACATTGAGCAAAAGAAAAGTTCACATTAATCAATGAAGTTCCTGTAGTTTTACGTATAGGAACAAAACGATCTTAATCATTTTTAACCAGAAGTTATGGAATGCAAGAAAGAAAATGGTTAGTCGGTGATTAAAAAAACTAATCAGTATAATATTTTTAATGGTTTTTAGGTGTTTACTATGATAATAAGATAAATGAACTCAGTTGTTGTGATAAATGGAAATTAGAAAAACATAACAAGTCGTGACCCGTGGAGCTAATCCATGTCAGGTAGAGACAGGTATCTACCTCAGTACAATGGAAAATGGTTGCGCAATTTCGTGGATTGGTTGAGGTTAGACATTAACACCGTTAGATGCTGGCTCACTGGTCTATCGGTTAAGTGCTCTGGCTCGAATCTGATAGGTCCTGAATTCAAATCTCGTGAAGCGGGATCTTGGATGGGCACTGCTGAGGAATCCCACAATAGGACGAAGCGGCCATGCAGTTCTTCCAGGTTTTCCCTGGTGTTCTATCTTCAATTGACTCACGTTTTCAACTATGAAGAATTAATTCTACTCTGTTATTATCATTTATCGTTCATGTAAAATACAAGATTAATATCTGTAGACAGGTGAACATGAGTTGGTGAATTATATAGGGTTTTTAAGTGTTGTATATAAGTATATATAAGTATATAAAACGTAGAGGTTAGTATTCAGGAATTACCAAAAGAAACAATGCAGATGAAAGTAGAATCTAAAGCTTGTTGATGTAATTCAGTTAGTAATACCTTACTAAAGTCATATCTGCTGAACAATAAATTAGTTGAGATTCAAAACATTGTTAGTATAAATGAATTATGGCTAGTTGTGGAATACAAAATGTGCGTCTCCGCTTGTTTGGGGATTACTGGAAGGATGTATTTACATTCCACGCTGATCTTCATTAATTTATTAATACTGACTGAAAGTTAGATTATTTAAATACTAAGAAAATTATAATCATAACTAAATAAAATCTATGAATGCCAAAATAACGCAATACCATCAGCTATTTTTCACTAAATTAAGACTAAAGCTAATTAGCCTATCGGGAAATGAAAACAGACATAAACATGTGCTTAATAGAGGGTCGTTACCCACTGATGTTTTAGCAAATAATTGGAGAGATGGAACAAAATACACAGCAGAAGCAGAGCTGGTAACACAAAATCTTGAGAGATTTCATATACGCACTAATTTAGAAGTGAAATATCAACCGAGATATAAGTAAGGATGTTCTTTTACTACAAAGAAAATACTTTGGTGATTGGGCCAAGAGTATTTGTATTTATAATTTGAAAAGTTATATCAGTGCAGATACATCCTTTACTTATTTTGATACAGCCCTTAAATCATTACCTTTATTTCTCATTTTTTACCTCGTTGATCGCTCAATTACAGAATCTGATCCTAAACTTCAAGTTAGTCTATTTTATTCAAATAGTAAAATGTTACTGATAGCCTTCTAATGAAATAAGGATTCGGCAAAAAATCTTTTAAAAAAATCAGAATTAATTATATAAATCTGATACTTACAAACATATGTCTATTTTATATTAAAAATCAAATAGGTTTAAAATCTTATTTGGTTGTGACTAGTGTAATCTGACGAGAAGAGTTCAGTAGGAATAAAATATAAGTGTGAATTCATTGGACCTAATCCATTTAGGATCCGATTCACATTAATGACTACTGATACTACGACAAATTTATTTCGTTGAATGACATTAACGAAGTAATAATTGTATTATACAAATAAGTCTCCTTATCTGTATTACGGTATTTGTATACCGTCTAATGATTAAAAAAATATTCTCGATGGGGTCAGATATTTTTATCATAATCTAAGTTGATCAAATGTCTCAATATTCCACGGTATTAATATCATTTTACTTTGAATGAAATACTAGTGTAAGTAATAATAGAAGTATTAACACAGGTACTGGGTTTGAGCCCCTGAGTGAACATCAACTCTGAGATGCAGGTACATTCAGCTGACGTAACCCAAAAAGGACGAAACGCGCGTCCTGGATTCCACTGCTATCCACTATCCATCTTTGCTTATTAATACAAATATTTGAGTAGATAAGTTCAAATAGAGTATTCAGTAAACTAATTATCATAAAATAATAACAATGATTAAAAAAAATAATTGAATTGATTAACGACAGAAATCCGATTTGTTTTTGTCAAATACAGTTTTATTTTTCTACTATACACAAATCAATTATTCATTATTTACTTACTTGTAAGTCGACAACAAATTTACAGTCAAACTTTAGATATTGACATGCCATCGGATCATTTTCTTCATCTGCATAATCCTTTAGATAAGAATACAAGTGATCATCAAAATAATGTTATATAAGTTAATAATTTAATCAAATTGATGTAATTTACAATGATTAAATTTTCTTTAATGAAATGTCAGTAATATTGAGTTAAGTCACCAAAGATCAAGTTTAATTATTAGAGAATAATTAGTAAATAAGCAAACAATGGATAGAACTAGAAGGGATGGCTCAGGACAGAGTGAGGTGGAGAATGTCGGTCGGCGGCCTATGCTCCATTGGGAGTAGCAGGCGTAAGTAAGTAAGTAAGTAAGTAGACTACTAAAGTGTTTAAGACAATATCAATGGGAATATATCGTGAGATTAAAGGAAAGCGAAATTAATCAGCAGAAATATCATATTGTAAGTTAACTTCACCTAAACAACAACGCAAAACTGAGGAGAACTGGATAGCGAACTCTATGATCCAAAAGTAAATAAAGTGTACTAATTTAGACTGAAACCTTTGAATTCAATCTTTTGCCAGGTTATCACTGCTCACCGATGATGAGTGCCATATTACGAGAAACTGTTCCTAATTTTCGCTGATAGTCTAACCTGAAGTTAATCTGTGCTACAGGATTTCATCAACTAGTAGGAATTCCACAAACCGTTGATTGTATCATAAAACTTGCTCAATGCCATCAGAGACAAGTATGCACCAAGAATAGTTGTCTTTATGATAGAATTAAAAGGTAGCGGATATTATATTTTAAATCTTTTGAATAGTTGTAAAGTAACTCGGAAAAATTAAGGTCGAAAATACTGATCATATTACTGTAATTAATCTTGAATGAATATTATTTAAGTGCCTTAGAGATGAATATGACATAATTAATTAGCATATTTGACGTTTAAATACATTTTTCTTCTGTTTATAAATTCATGATGAAATCTATTTGAAAGGAATCAAGTAATTTGATAGGATTAAACTGAATAACTTTGTTTTATAATTAGATAAGAGGGGGTTTTTGTCGTGAATTTAGTATTTTCATAGTTGAAATCATGAGTCAATTGAAGCTAGACCACCTTCAAAAACCTAGAAGCACTGGACGGCCGTTTCGTCCTATTATGGGACTCGTAAACAGTGCGCATCCACGATCCCGCACCCGCGAGATTCGAACCTAGGACCTACCAGTTTCGCGCCAGAGCCCTTAACCTCCAGACCAGTGAGCCAGCATCCAACGATGTTAATGTCTAACTTCAACCAATCCACGAAGTTTAGCAACCGTTCACCAATTGTCTTCAGTGAGTTGATATCTCTACAACAGACTTGGTAGAACTCCACTGGTCACTGCTTCCCACTGGAACTCAAGGAAATATCTCTTGAAGTCAGTCACTAGTGAGCAAATGATTATAGATTAGAGGAGGGTTTTGTGGAGAATTCAGTATTTTCATAATTAGGTTCAGCTATGAAGATACACCCTGAAGCATATTAAGTAAAGCAAAAACAATCGTTATATTAATTTTTATGTTATATATTATCATCCACTTAGATACAAAATTTTCCCTGATTTTCATGACCTCAGATTTACCTTAATTATTGTTTTTTTTTCATTGAATAATATCGATTATGAGAAGAAACACGAAAATAAACAATAAACAAAAAGAGAAGCGTGATAAATTGAAAATAGTGACAAAGGAAAACAAATCAGAGAAAAACTGCTTAATTCAACAAAAGACTTAAACATGATAGATTAAAAGAAAAATGAAGAAAGATGTGAATATCTAAATTAATTATTCATCCTATTAGGTGAACGTTTCGTGTCCACCAACCCAGTTGAAGCGCGGGGTATTTGCTTTTCGTCCTCTCAATTTTGTAAACAACAGTAATGCCACGAGAAGGTAGTGAGTAGGATTTCCTTATCAGAGGCTATATAAGCGTGACCATGTGAGAGCATTTGGAGAGGGAGAGCGTACTCTCCCCACTCTCGGCCGTACCAAGGCATTTGGGGTGAATGTTTATTTAAGAAAGAATAGTTTAATAACCACCTTAATATAAATGGTTTATATTGTGAAGATACAAATAATATCTAAAAGAGAGAAGTTATACAACCTATAGCAATTGAGATCGTATTGTAGCGAACGCGATCACATGTACGGACAACCAATTGTATTTGTTAAAATTTGAATACCATACATTCAAAAATTCATTTGCACAATGTCTATCAATTGTTTCACACTTTGTTGTTCCTTCATTTCTATACCCATCACTCTCTGTTTCCGCTCTTTTCTACTTGATCTTCTCAACATTTCGACATCAAGCATTCCACAATCGACTTGTGATAAATACTACTTATGTCTGTAGACATCAGTAACACACACACACACACACCACAGTGTCATCTAGCGAACTAATGAAAATATTTAACTTGAAATCTATCATAATTTGTAATTCCACAGTATTTTAAACATAGGTTTTGTAGAACAAACTATTATTGAAAGAAAGATGATGTGAATGATGTTATAAATAACTTAAAGCAGTTATAATAGTAAATGTTTAAAGTATTATTTTCAAATCTAAGAACGTCAAAGTAAATATTACTTTGTGTACTTAATCACTTTATAAGATATGAAAGTGCTAATAAAGACTAATTCAACTGTTTAGTTATTTAATCCAATGTAAAATAATAATAATATATTCACTGGCTGGATACTATCAGCAACAGCGTTTTATGGGAGAGGACAAACCAGTTACAGCTGAACAGCAAATTAGGTAAAGATTTTGGAAGTGGATCGGACATACATTAAGGAAATCACCAAACTGCATCACGAAGCAAGCCCTAACTTGGAATCTTGAAGGGAAGCAGAAAAAAGGAAGGCCAAAGAACATATTACGCCAGGAGATTGAAGCATATATGAAAAGGATGAATAACAACTGAAAAGAACTGGAAACGATTGCCCAGGTTAGGGTTGAATGGAGAATACTAGTGGATGGACTATATTCCTCAATGAGCGGTAACAGACATTAGTAAGTAAGTAATAATAATAATATGGAACATCATTAACAGAAACAAAACACACTATTATGACAAAACGTTTTCATTTTATAAAACTTTATACAGTGAATAGACTAAATTTAAAACGTAGTTCGTCAAATGTCTTAATCTTATACTAAAAAGCATGGGCAGATTACCCATAAGATGAAACTATAATGATTAGATAAATTCATTGAACGGATAAATACGACAAATCTTCAAGTAAAATATAGATAAAAGTAAAATAAGACTACAAATACTTTTGTCTTAATTAAAAAAATATAAAAACCAATTTAACTTACCATTACTTTAGCTAAGATATTTTTCATTATAATTTTGAGTGCAATGGTTAATAGTTATGAAGTTGGAAAAGGAAGCATGTAATTAATTTCAGGCTTATTGATAAGTTTTAAATTAAAGTGGTCATATAATAACCTCTAGACTACTGATAGGTTCTGGGTTCGAATCTGGTGAGGCGAAATCGTGGATACGCACTGCTGAGGAGTTCAACAATAGAACGAAACGGCCGTCCAGTGCTTCCAGGTTTTTCATGATGGTCTAGCTTCAACTGATTCATGATCTCAACTATTGAAATTACTATTATTTACATAGAAATGCCCTTCTCATATTATTCAACATACGCTCACTAGTGACTGGCTTCAAGAGGTATTTCCTGGAGTTCTAGTGAGAAGCAGTGACCAGTGGAGTTGAAGCAGGTGTGTTGTGAGAGAGTAACTCACTGAAGACATTGGTGGATGTGTCGGTGAATTCCGTGTATTAGTTGAAGTTAGACATTAACACCGTTTGGTGCTGCCTCAGTGGTCTAGAAAGTAAGTGCTTGAGCCCGAGACCGATAGGTCCTGGGTTTGAATCTCGCGGGGCGAGATTGTGGATGCGCACTGATGAGGAGTCCCACAATAAGACGAAACAGCCATCCAGTGCTTCCAGGTTTTCCATGATGGTCTAGCTTCAATTGTCTCATGATCTCAACTATTGAAATTAATATAATAACCTCTTCTTTATACATTTCCTTTCCCTAACGTGATAATATTAAACAAACATTATTATTTCTTGAAGGTTGTTTTTTTTTTCAGTTTGGATATCTTATTTATTGTATACTAGTCAAATTATTCACTTAAGATAATAAGGTTTTTTTTATTTTATGGGATTTATGTTAAAAGACTCCTGTATATTCTATAAATATAATGCTTTAATTAGAGAAACTATACAATATGGATGAAATGACACGGAAAGTTTATGTCACTTATTATCCAAGGAGTATATCCCTGTAAAAAATCAAATATTTACAAAAGTAATCAAATTTCAAGTTAATGAAGGGTTTTTTTATGTAGCTATTGAGTTCATCCAAAAATCATTCAAAAATGTTCAAATGAACGATTTCTAATTATTGTCATATTTTTAATGGAGAATTCCTACAGGGTCAATGAAATACATTTTTTAGAATACTATCTGAGAATTACATTAAAAAGCTTCTGACGTTTCGAAGTAATTCAAAACTAAAAGGAGATTAATTTCAATCATTAGTAGTGACGATCGAACTGAATGTTTTCTTTGGACAGAGGCAAAATAACCAGTGGTGATTAAATTAATTTTCGATTAGAACACTGATCACAAAACTTTGTTATATCACGTAGGTTTGCTCTCATGTGATCGTTTTCACTATATGTAGCTAAAAAAATAACCTTTCAATAATTCAAAGTGGTGATCAAAATGGTTAGATTTTTTATTAGCTTAAATAATTCAATAAAGTTAAGATGGTGAGTTACGAGACCGGGATTATTATAAGAATACCTTACATTACGGATAAACCTATGCTAATGAACAAACTGAAATCATGTAACCCTAAACGCTTGTTTCCTTGTACTTTGAGACTTCACAGTGATGCGAACATGCAGCGTAACAAAATCGAATTTAGAAATCACAGACTGTTCGTTGCTACAACTCGTCTTAGACTATTTCTCACTGGATGTCAGTCTATGATGAAGGCTATCCTAGGATTCAATATTACTCACAATACTTTTGTGCTAGCCAATAAGAAAAATGTGTAAACAAGACAGCAAATATGCTGAACCTTACATACAAAACATATCCATATTCATTAAATCCTAACTTCTTAAAATAACTCAGACATAACAAATTCAGCTGTAACACTAAATGAAAAGGTTTGATCTTCATAGAGGACACAATAATTCTTGACGACATTTAGTTTTAAGGAATGAGTAGATAGACAAGATCAGTTCATACAGAATAGCTTTAAAATGAGAAAAACTTTACATACATTTTAAATACATCACTAAAACTCCATAAAGATATCACTGTCTTTGGATGCTTTCAGTCGATGGTCAAATGAATGTTAAAATCAAACTGTTAGATAATAAACCACTAATAATATAAACATATATATATATACAACTAATATAACATACTGTATATTCACTGTATGTAGAAGATTCATCAAAATCTTGGTCGTCAGTATCTGTTTCATTAACCGATGATGTTAATGAATCGACTGATTGTAGAAGTTTTGATTTACTCTCTCCTTCTGTAAGGCATACTTTAGGATCGAGAGGATTTTTTGTTATTTCTTCAGTTGTCACCTGTACATTTTCTTCAGCATTTAAATTATTGTCTACTTTTTTAAAATTAAAGAAAGCATTGAAGACTTTTTACTAGTACACCATAAAATACGAAACATTTTTCTAAAAAAAAATCTCATGGAGATAATTTATTAGGTAATCATTCTCTTTTTCAATTGCCTGATATAGTTGGGGAGTAAATTTATATTTTATTGATACATTAAAACAAACGATACATTTAAATGTTATTATTTTTAGTACTATCACTAATAATATATAGGCCTACTCATAGTTGCCAGTTATAAATAGAATGAGGATTAAAATATGGGATAAATTGAATTGACATGAAAGGGATAAAATTAACAGAATGTTAAACGCCTAAATAATAATAACAATAATAGAGTTGATGAAATAGAAACCAAAAGAATTCCTGATATAAATAGTTTAGGTAGATGGGATTTATTAGTGGAATAAAAATTTACAAAATAACAATAAAGATTAAATGACAGTATTATATGAACGCATCTACTGTTATGTAACTAAGTTTGGATCATGTTAATTAAGATCTGCTACTGTTTATTAAGATTTATATGATGAATCTCCACGTGGAATTGTGTGTCTGTTAAAATACTTCACGAGATCGGCGTGGAAAACTTACTGAAGTGAACATGCCGAATAGTGAAGAATAAGATGATATAGAAAAACGTATAGAAAATAATGATTTTATAGTTGTATTCAAAGATCATTCAACAATCTACTTGATTATGGGCTAATTATTGGTTTGAAATAATTTGTGTTTTATACAAATGAAATCAAGTGTTAAAATCAAATCGTGAAGTCGGTTCACACCTTTAGGATCTAAGTAGTCAGTGGTTTTATAGTTCAGTCATATTATCATGTTGTTATACTGATAAGAAATATTTTTATTTTCATACACATAGAGTTCCTTTTATTGATCTGGAGATGAAAGTTGAAGATTTCAGTGAAATTGTAGTGAACAAGAACACGACTGGGGACAATCGAATATATTTAAGCACAAATTACAAACTGTCTTACTAAGATCTGATAACCATACAGTAAATAGTTAATTTGCAAAATAACAATCAATTGTCTCAATCTTCACTTTGCCTTCTGTAAATATCAATTCTCTAATTTCATTGTTTATGTATTTTCCTACCAATTGCGCTTCTTTTCAGTTCTTTCCTTATCGGTCTTCTGACAAAATACATTCTATGTCTGACCAGGACCATATACTACTTATAAGGATATAAGTAGACCACACTACAAAATAACTTAAATTCATTTAATTTCATCAGGTAGTTATCAGCTGCTTATGGTTTGGAATATTTCAAAAATCAACATTGTTTACATAGCCATAAAATTGGTCGAGTGTTGATATGGATCATCATGGTAGAGCAAAAATTCCAAATATAGTTAATAAGACGGGAAAAGTTTTATTTGTAAAAGAAGATTTTTGGACATCGAAAAACAGTATAGAAGAAGATTAAAGATCTAAAAAGTATTCGCTTACGTAATGGAATGATAGAATGGAGGTTCATGATAATTACTAATAATATGAGATGAAAAAAGTTAGTCAAATAAATAAAATAATTCAACGGAACTCATCGATGAGTTGAGCAGTAATGTTTCGTCAGATTTCACATAGGTATATATAGAATCTTTTTCAAAATTACTTATCGATAACTTACTATCGCTTTTTACACCAGATGCAACAGATTTATTGGATGATTCAGCGGTCATATTAGCTACTTTTTCATTGATAGGAAGTTTGATCACTTGACCAACAAATAATGTTCTAGATAAGAATTTATTGACACGACATAATTCTGACGGAGTTAGATCGAAACGAGCTGCTACACTATTGAATGAATCACCTTCTTGAACCTATAAACAGATGTAAAAGAAAATCCATTTACTAGAGCAAAGTATATTTACTGAAAGCACAAAAATATTTTTATTGTATTAAAATTAATACAACTGATTGTTATACGCCATTTTCCCAAGGTTTATGTGATTGTTCAGTTTAAGTGCCATAACAATTTTTTCGTCCATCAGACAACGAGTGCAAACATTCTAAAATGTTAGTCTCTCGCCTTCTTTTAGGATATATTAGGGCTAAAAAAATTTGCGAACAAACACAGCCTTCCTATATGAGATTTTCAGTATTTAGTGTAACGATAGATTGTAACTTATTCATAATACCGCATAAGTACACAAATATTTAAAATTGATAACTACTATGATCAAACAGATCCGGAACAAGAACGTTTGTTACAATATTCGCATAATTGGACTAAAATAATATGATTGCTGGAGTTAAATGATAGACCATAATAAACATTCTGTGAACTTATTTTACTATTTAGATACTCTAGAAAAATTATGTCCTGTTCTGTTAAACTTGGGTTTGTCAACATTTAACTAGTGGAGAGGATGAAAACGTTTATACAGTCAATCTCGTAATACAGAAAGCTACCTATATGAATTGTGCAATACCGGATTAATGTAGACGGTTATTGGCGAAAACTGTTATTCTATCTCTACTGACTTCTATGTTGTATACTCATACATATATATACACACATATATCAATTTTTTATTAGTTTTTCTATAACAGAATGCTGCTGGGTGGCCTATGATCCTCTTTGAGTGATAACAGGCGCAAGTAAGTGATTTTTAATAGCATAACGTCTAGGAATTTACTATCGCTAAAAATATTTTTGGAGATTAACATGGGATATAAATTAAACACTTTCCTCAAAATGATTTCATTAGTTATTTACTTTGTTCACATACAATAATTGATATTCATAAAGAAATAAGTCATGGTTCATTTAAAGCCTTCATTTGAAATAAACGGATATTTAAAAAAGCATTCGTATCAAGATGAAACAGGCTCAATTTGTACTCAGTGTCTCATTTCATTAATTTTAAAGTAATAAATAGACGATTGAACCTTTCTATTTACTAGTTTAACGAGAATTTCTTGTATGTTTCTTTTCAATCTAGCCTGTTTGTTCCTCTTATAAGTATTATATGTACTTATCAATCCCAAGGTTAGAATTGTTAGTTTCCAATAAATTAAGCATTGGATAGAGAGTTAATATTAAATAAGGTTGATTCAGTTCGGTCATTTATTTACTTTGAAGAAGTGGCCTAAATTAAGTCACGAAACTTTAGAAATATAATTTTTCTACTCATTGGGATATAACAAAAAAATATGTTTATTTTAACGTGCATTATTTTGTGCGTTGCTTTACACCAATCAGTGTTTATATGCCAGGTAGAGATCGTTTCGGGATCTTCATTTAGATTTCATGACTAAGGATTTGTTATAAGTGATATGACTAACTTGATTAGGTAATTTTGGATATAAATGACAGATTTAATTTTGAAGAGACTAAAAACGAAGATGTAAAGACATTTACGCTTAAATCTTTGTTCTTTCTCTCTTCAACAAAGTAAATGGAACTACATATGTGAAGTTTTAATTGCTTCATTTGTCCAGACAGTCAGTTAATAGTTCTGTTCTGTAAAGTTAATTCTATTTGGCATTCGAGTGATGGTTCTATAAACCAATTATTACTATGTATGCTGTAGTGGTTCCACTATTTCATTAGACAGGTTTGGTTATTACAACAAACATCATCTATGAAATATAGAAAGTTTTAATTTCAATCCATTCAATATACTTTTATATAAAAAATGAATAGTTATGTATACGAAGCACGCAGATCGTTTAAAATACTAGGGATTGGTTGTGCTAATGGTCTGAAAACTACAACGTTTCACCTGAGATAGAGACATCTGATGATTATTTTGTAAATTAGGAGGATTTTCATTGAGAATCTTTTATAAACTACATATGAACTTTAGAAATTCTTATTCAGAAGTTGAGTCTAGTCAATTTTCATTTACAGATTGGATTGATTAGCAAATCTTTCGAAGGAGGTGAAGCTTTTAAGCACAATCGATAGGTTGAATGTCGAAACACTATAAAGTATGAATTACAGTTAGACTAGAAAAAACTTAATTACCACATCTCGCATAATACTGATCCAAGCCCTAAGAAGTCAGTTTTGTAGACGATAAATAAAATCTCGATTGACAAATACTTGCTTTCTAAGAATAATATACATGACTTAATACTATTTCTGAAAATTTTTCCATCTCTTTACAAGACACAGAGAGATAGAGAGTAAACTTACAACGTATTCTGTAGTCTGTTGAATGCTGCTAGTTTTGACTAGTTTGGTGGTATCTGAATGATCATGTTTTTGTTTCTTTTTCTTTTTTTTCCTTTCAGGTTTCTCTTGCTTTCCGCTTGCACTTGTAGAGGATTCATTTGTGAATGTTGTTCGTTCACGAGTTCGTCTCTTTGATTTCTTAATTCCTTCGGTTTGTTTAACTATAAATGGTAAATAATAGTAAACATAATCATAATATAAACAAAAAACCACTAATCATAACAACAAAAGTGAAAGAATTTGGATGAATAAGTTTATTTTTTAAATCAGTCAGTTATAATTCATTTTATTTTCCTTTGTAATTTGAAGTTTTACTACACTGTTGTCAATTTTTGAAGGGACTCAAAAATTTAGTTTTAATCCTGTCCTTAATTTATTATTTAGTTATTTATTTAAACACATAGATATTGGTACAAGGAAGCCCCAGATGAAAATGCGCCGCACAAATCTCAATTGATTTGTGTGAGGGCTATGATACTGCACAGGTGCCACACCCGGAGCCTTTGACCTGAAGGTCTAGTCCACAAGGCAGTGGAGCATCGTGAGAAGATGCAGTCCCATTGTAGCCGGTGACCAACGATTGGTTCATACGCCATTTGTTTTTTCAGGATACTGTAGCCCATGTGCACCATTGGTTTTGAATTAGGGTTTTCCAACTCCCCTAGGTGAACTTTCCGTGTCCACCAACCCGGTTAAAGCGCTGTACATTCACTTTTCGTCCTCTCAATTTCGTAAACAACAGTAATGCCACGAGAAGGCGGTGAGTAGGACTTCCGTGGCAGCGGCTATATACGCGTGACCATGTGAGAGCATTTGGAGAGGGAGAGTGGACTCTCTCCACTCTCGGCCGTACCGAGGCATTTGGGGGCTGTTCTTAATTTAGTTACATAATTTGCAACTTTGATATACGAGGCTTTGTTTTAGTTGAATTTTAAAACCAAAGCTTCGGAAATTCTATTTTCTTGAATTTAAAATGATTATACATAGAGTGGATTACCATAACTCAGTGTATTAGTATTACCAGAGTAAGTTACAAATTAAAAAGAGCTAGCTTATAATAGGAATAAATTACACTGGTTACTCTAGGCCATATTAGTTATTGTGATTTTCCAACAGCAACCTATCTTACAATTTGACATTACGCTTTAATGGTCACTTTTCAACAAACTATTCATTTTCAGTATATGTTGATCATTTGCATTGGAGGCACTTAAATGACCACATACAAAATGCACTATAACGCTTTAGTAAATAAGGTAAATATATGAATGTGACCGCTTTTAGAATTAAACTCAAATTCAGACATGGCTATAGTATTATAAAACCCAGTCAATCATCGATAGTTATTTCCTTACGCCTTTTACACCTCGTGGATGAGCATAGGCCACCCGCCAACAATTAACCACAGCTCTAATATAAATAAAACTTAGTAAATAAAGAAGAGTTAGACGATTTTATTCATTGGTAGCATTCGGTGATCAGTGCATAATTAACTATATTCTAAACATTACGTATGATCATTATTATTCTAAGATTCTATTTTAACATAACATGCTTCTTCAAACATAACATTATATACTTGTATAATGATGATAAAGAAAGATTTAACAGTCAAAAACCTTTAAAATAACCAGTATCAATCTTTTTACCCATTGTTCTAATGCTATCAAGAGATTATGACTACTGAAACTTGACATGGCATCTTTACCACTAAAAGTAGTATTTACATTTTCAAAAAATCGTTGGTGATATAAATCTTTATTAGTTGAGCGGTTTTTCAAAATTGTACCGTTTATAGGTAACTACGCCTGTAGTTGCTCTGGGGGCTACTGCCGGTCCCAAGCCCGGGTAAAGGAGGAGGGTTGGGTATAGGGTTAGCGACCCCATCCCGTAGAAAACCAACTCGCTAAAAAACGCTAACCAGAAAATCTGAACCGTTTATAGGTAATTACCTCCAAATTCTTAATAGATACTTTCAGGATTCTATGAATAAATTGAAAAAATTTGACGTGACAAGATTATCTTCACTGTCGAAAAACTCAAACATTACTTCTAAAGAATTAAAAAAGTTTCAAATGTTAAGGCATATTATTTCAAGCATAAAGAAGACTAATTTCATATTTTGATTTATTCATCGAGTTTTTAGAATCTATAATTTAATTGATGAAGTATCTAGGACTTAAATTTAGTTTCCAAAGCAACTAAAGCAAACTATTAAAATTGAATGGTTTAATTGAACTGCCATATTTATTTTTGGACATATTTAAATGCTATTTTCTTATTTCGAAGTAACGAAAATCTTTTTTTCTGGAAATTTCTTTCAACTGAATGAAAATCATTGAACAATAGTAAGGGATTGAATAAAAAACATGTGAATTTAAATCAGAAGGGGTTTTGTAGAGATTTAGTATTTTCATAGTTGAAAACATGAGTCAATTGAAGCTAGACCATCAAGGAAAATCTGGAAGCACTGGAAGGTCATTTCGTTCTATTGTGGGACACCAGGGGGCCGTCCAGTGCTTCCAGGTTTTCTTTGGTGGTCTAGCTTCAATTGACTCATGCTTTCAACAATGAATTTAAATGTTTTTCTCATTACTAACTGAAAAATTATCATTTAGTATTATCCTGATAATTTTTTTTAATGTAAGCAACTATACAGTAAGTTCTTAGAATAATACTACGTACAGTTGACCATGAATGATTATTTTTGGCATGATTTTAAAGGTTTTAATTTGATGCATCAAATAAGGTCCTTTGAGAAAAATAGTTATTTATAGAGTAAGTTTGAATAATAGCAACGGAAAATATAAAAAAAGTTAATGGAGATAAGCAAAGAGAAAGAATTAATGACATTCTTAAATGAGATCACCTTATTTACATCAAGTCATGAAATTACGATTTAATTGTATTTGTGGGGATGGAGGAATGAATTAACTAGTCTTCCATGATAAAATTAGTACCAGAGAGGAAAATGAAACTTTTTCTTAAAACAGTTAATTCTATTCTGATAAATTATCTGATTTATATCAATTGACTACCAAATTCATCTAATTTTTATCTCAAATTATTCTGCCATCAAACCAGATTGACATAGTTAAACAGAAGTACTAATAATATATAGGTAACTAGATATTGTTCGATCATGTTCAGTAGTAGAATATATTACTAAGTGATGCCAATAGTATTTTAACCAGTGTTTTCATCAAACACTTTTTAACGCTTTTGGATGTATTATTAACCATCCGAATAAACGTTGAAAATACGAATACAGTAAAGTTAAAGACTATGGATTTGAGAATGCCCCTGATATAATAAGGAGAAGTTTATTAACCAACCAGATAATGAAAGATTAACTGATGGAAGATACGTGGTTTTCAACATCCAACCACTTATTTCCACCACGATCTCATACTAGCTAGACCAACACTAAAATCTTGGGAGGACTAGATGGCCTTTTCGTCTTGGTATAGGACTCTTCAGTAGTGGATAACTACAGCCTTGTACCCTGGAACGCAACCTAGTACATTCGGTCTTGCTCACGAACGCTTAGACTTGTGACCACCAAGCAGGCGTCTAATAGTGTTAATTTCTGACCCCAATCAATCCACTACATTGCACAACCTTTGTTTATTGCCTGCGATGGATGACCATCTCTTACTGGTCACAACTTCTGTTGATTGTTAGTTATTATTCGTTTTTTCGGTAGCCTATCTTTAACTTTAATTGAAACCTATCAAGCAAGAAAACATATCATGCTCATTAATAATCGTTTTGATATCCTCCAATGTATCTATGTGGTATTCAAACCTTTTCATCCACATCATTTATACAAACAGAAGCCAAATTTCAACAACAAACAGAGGCCTATTTATGTGGTCAATTATTATTATTTTTGTCAATCTCTAATTATTTCAAACGCTTAATGTCACAACTAACTAAATATAACTATTCTTATTCTACATATACATCAATAATCTAGATCTTAAAAAAAATATAATTTCAGATTTGTAATGATCTTATCATTTATTCATTGAATTCTTCAATAACACATACGCTCATTCTTTCCCCTATTGTTAACATTGTTGACATCTTATGACTTGTATTGTTTTACTATATGAAAAAAAGTGAATATCTGAATAAGACTAGATAAACTTTTAGTAAAGATCTGTTTTTAATTTATTTATTTATTTAAACACATAAATATTGGTACAAGGAAGCACCAGATACATATGCGCCATACAGATCTCATTCGATTTACTTGAGGGCTGTGATACTGCCCAGGTGCCCAAACTGAAGCTGTTTTTAAACCTTATATATATTCTATAACAACATTCATTTAAATTAGAGAGAATAGTTTCACAGTATTTGATCGCCGAGTTGATGTAAGACATTAAATAAGAATAATATATTTGTAAAATCTCAGCGAATGAATTTGTAGTAAATCCAACGTAGCTTTTTCAAGGAATTCCTTGAAAAAGCTTGGACCAGATTGCCAGGCGAAACGTTGGATTTACTACAAATTCATCCGCTGAGATTTTACAAATATATTATTCTTATATATATTCTTTGACAATTTCGATTTTCATCATTCCTTTGAAGGAAATCATAGTAGATTACTGGGTGGAACGTTGAAATTATTCAAATTCAAATAGCTGAGATTATTTTACATTTGCAATGAAACAGTTTATTCAAGAGTGCATTTCAGTCAAATAGTATTTCCAGAACTGAACGACTTTTTATTATTTTTTTTTACGATGCTTCACATTAATCACATCCTTGATAAGTTAGACTAACAAATTTGCTTTTAAAATAACGAGGGATGAATAGATGGAATATTCAAAGTTTAACATACAGTTTAAGAATTTTTCTTGTAATGAGAAGAAATGATTTCAAATTTCTGAAAGAGACTAGTTGTTTTGATCTCATTTTATTTTCATAGCTCGTGGAGAGAATTTTACCGACTTCAGAAACCGTGATCATTCAATGTATCGAAGTAATAACTTTCATCAAATGACTATGACAGCTATTATAATTTTTGAATACTTGAAGATCCTTAGCTGAATATGAATCATTAAGTTTCAGTTTACTTATCAAAAGAATATCGAATGTTTACTAGAAGAGTAGACATCATATGTTCGATTAATCGTTCTGAGCAGTTACA